AAGAAGTAAATCAAAATGGTATACTAAAAATAATTCAATGTAGAGTCAAGTACAGCGGCTTGTGCCTGTAGTCCCAGCTACTTGGGAGGCTAAGGTGGAAGGATCATTTGAACTCACCATTTAGAGGCTGCAGTGAGCTATGATCCAGCCACTACACTCCAGCCTGAGCAACAGAACAAGACCCTGTCTCTTTAAAAAAAAAAAAAATTTCAACGAAGTATCAAAAAAAAAAAGCAGTAATGGAGGAATTGAGGAACAAAAATATATAAGACATATAGAACACAAATAGCTAAATGGCAGGTGTAAGTCCTTTCCTATCAGTAATTACTTTAAAAGTAAACTCTCTAATTAAATGCAGAAATTGGCAGAATAGATTAAAAAAAAATGATCGATCTAAATGCTCTCTACAAGAGATTCATTTCAGATGCAAAGACACAAAAGAGGTTAAAAGGAAGAGGAAAAAAAAATATTCCATGAAAATAGTAGCCAAAAGAGATCTGGAGTGGCTATATTATTACCAGACAAAACAGATTTTAAGTCAAAAAAAGGTGATATTAAGAAGATACTACTCAGGCAGTTGAGGCAGGAATATCACTTCAACCCAGGAGTTTGAAGCCAGCCTGAGCAACAATAAGCTGACCCCATTTCGGGGAGGGAGAAAAAAAGGATAAAAAATTATAAACACATATGTGCACCTAACAAGCCCCAAAATATATGAAGAAAAAATTGACAGAATTCAAGGAAGAAAGAAGTAAAGTAATTCTACAATAATAGTTGGAGACTTCAGCACTCCACTTTCAATAACAGACAGAACAATAATGAAATGGAGGACCTGAACAACACTATAAACCAGGCATTTATTCTGGGTGTTGGGGACTCAGCAATGAACAGACAAAAAATCCTTGCCCTTGTAGACCTTGCATAAAATAAAGAAGATTTTTAAAGTACACTATGTAGTATACTAGGCAGTGATAAATGCTAAGGAGAAAAGTTAAGCAGGGAAAGGAGAACAGAGATTGTCAGAGGGTTGCAGATTTTATGCAATGTGGCCAGAAAAGACCTCACTAAGATGACATCTAAATAAAGATTAGCTCTCCTTACTCTCAATTACTATGTTTATCATACGACTTCAAAAATGTATGTACTAAACATAGTGAGACCCCTTTTCTACAAAAAACTAAAAAATAAGCCAGGCATGGTGGCATGTGCTTATAGTCCCAGCTACTCAGGAGGCTGAGGCTAGAGGAATGCTTGAGCTCAGGAGTTCAAGGCTATAGTGAGCTATGATAGTGCCACCGCACTCCAGCCTGGGTGACAGAGCAAGGCCCTATCTCAAAAAAAAAAGAAAAAAAAAAAGTATGTGTACATACTAGACAAACTCCCCATCTAGCTGGTGAGCTCCCTGTTGGCTAGAACTTTGCTCAGCTCCTAACACAGAGCTCATATGAGGAGAGCCTGACTTATTGAATTGAAATGAGAGAATAATAATTATGGGTGTGCCCGTACGTACACACACACACACACACACACATATCTAGAACCAGTTCATGGGGTCACAGGGGCCTAAAATTGCTACTGAATTGTTTACTAATGTCTTTACCCTTGGCCTGCCATGATAAATTAATTCCCCCACGGTCAGTCTTCCAATTCAATGACCTAGATAGAAAGTAAAAGGAATGTGTTTTCTCACTAACCCAGAAATTACGTAACTCCTTAAGTCAACCATTTATGAAATGTACAGTTTCTCAGACTGGCTTGCTCTCAGAAACTCATCAATTTGCCCTTAACACACATTTTATACATAAAAACAGAAGCCCATAAAGGTCAAAATTCTAGCCAGAAGTAGAACTGAGTGTCCTGACTCCCAATCCAGTGCTCTTTCCTCTTCAGTGCTGTGTTTCCACCATAGGATGGAACACAGCTCTCTCTAACCCTTTCCTCTATTCCAGGGATTGGCAAACTACAACCCAATTCAGTCTCCCACTGCCCGTCTGTATAAATAAAGTTTTATTGGAACACACCCATGCCCATTTGTTTATGTACTGTCTACAGCTACTTTTGTGGTATAACAGCAGGGTTGAGTAGTTGCAACTGAGACCATATGACCTACAAAGCCAAAAATATTTACTGTCTGGCCTTTTACAGAAAAAGTTTGCCAATTCATGCTCTATTCCATGGCAAGGGTCTGACTAGTTTGAATTTAAAATTCAACATGCTAGTTAGCTAGAATGGAAAATGTTTTCAAAGTCTAATTATATCTGACAAACAATTTTTGAGTACTATTCTGTGCCAGGCCATGTGTTGTTATGGAAATTTCATAAGCAAATAAAATAATCAATGCCCTCCTGAGTCCCTGACCTACTCAGAAGGTACTCAAGTAAGGAGAATTACAAAGTAGACTGTTATGATTAGAATCAGTTCTCTGATAAAAACTCACACAGCTAGTCTACTAAATGTGGTGTCATCTCTTTTAGAATAGCATAAGGCATCTTTAATAGATTTAAGTCTATTTACTCCTAAAAGTAACACTAGGTCAGTCTGCCACATTGTGGGAAACTGTCACTCAGTAAGAAATGACTATGAGTTTAAGACAGAAAGCTACCCATTCTACACAGAAACTGTTGATGGAATAAACCCCAAATATCTGAAATAGGAGTGTCGGCCATGACTTCTGAGAGGTCACTGCCTCAGATCTACTTCTTTCAACCAGAAAAAAACCTCAAGAACCCTCTGCCTCCTCACCTGCACCAAGCTCATTTCCAGCTGCAGGGCGTCTCTCTCTCTCCGAGCTGTATCCACCTCTCCTTCCAACCGCCGCACCTCAGACTGCACCAATGCCAACTGCTGCTGGGCCTCCCGGGCTACCTGAGCCTCCCTCTGGCTGTTCCCCTAAAATAGGGAAATCAAACTTAACTACATACCTCATTTCCTATCTCCTGGTTACCTCCATTCCCCAATTCATCCTCCCATAGCCTAAAACCCAAGCTTTCTCTCTGTCTCCTCCCATTTGTCCTATTTCCCCATACCTGTTTAATCTCACTCTTTGGACTTCCATGTGTTTGATGCCTCCAGTCCTTCCTGCTGGCCCTACATTCTCAACCTTGACATCCCATCCCATTCAATTACTTTGCCCTTCATCTGTTGCCCATTCCTCAACTCTTCCAACTGCCTCTTTTACCTTCTCCCTTTCCAATTGAGCCTGGCTTTCCTCCTGAAGTGCCTCGTAATGTTCCTTAAGCCGGTGCTCTTGTTGGGCCCAGGTCTGCCGTTCTTCTTCTAGGGCAGCCTGAAGAGTCTCCAACTGACGATGCTCACTGAGTTGCGCAGCCCGAGCCGCATCCCGTTCTTCCTGCAGGGCATGGCACCGCCGCTGTTCTACCTCCAAGCTCAGGGTCAGAGCTTGCCTTTCTTCTTCCTACAGCCCCAGAAGAAAACCAAGATCCTTAGTAGGCCTCTCTCCTGACCCCCATGCAATATGCCTGAGAATTATGCCCATTAAAACTACAATAGTTGAGGGCTGGGCATGCGGTGGCTTATGCCTGTTATCCTAGCAATTTGGGGGGTTGAGGTGAGAGGATTGCTTGAGATCAGGAGTTCAAGACCAACCTGAGCAAGAGGGAGACCCCATCTCTTCAAAAAATACAAAAAATTAGCTGGGCATGGTGGTATGCACCTGCAGTCCCAGCTAGTTGGGAGGCTGAGGCAGGAGCATGGCTTGAGCCCAGGAGTTTGAGGTGGCAGTGAGCTATAATGATGCCACTGTACTCTAACCTCGGCAACAAGACCCAGGTTAGAGCAAGACCCTCTCTCAAAAAAACAAACAAATAAACCAAAATAATCAATAGTTGACAAGCTCATAGGATTATATAAGAGCTCCTGTTCTAGAGTTAGGTAGACTTGGGCTCGAATCTCAGTTTGAATACTAGTTCTATCATTTACTGTGTGCTCTTAGGCACACATCATTATTGGTAAAATGGAGATAATAACAGAGTCTACCTTGTGAGCATTAAAGTAAAAAGCATATGTAAAGCATTTATCTATCATAGTATCTGGCACATAGTAAGCCCTCAATACACATATAGCTAACACCATCATCAAAAGAAATACCACAAAAACTAGAAAATCCAACCTACAATCATGAACTAGCCAAGCAGTAACTATCACAGCACTGTCGCACATAGCTGGTTAAGACTGTAAGACAGCATGCATGTAACAAGCATGTGTCATGCATGCAACAAATTCCAAACCTGGCTACTAACTCATAGGGGTAATCATCTTATCATTTCAGCTCGAAGAAACTTGAGTGAGTCTCATCTCAACATTTTTGGCTGTGTCCTAGACCAGAGTTCCCAAACCAGACTACACAAAATCACCTAGGAAATTTCTGAAAATATTTGGGTTGCCCAGCACTACCATATATCTAACTGAATCAAAACCTCTGGGAATGGGTCCCAGAAATCTATATTCTAAAATAATTCCCCAGATAACGCTAATGTTCTAATGAGGATACATACACTCTGAAGAGTCTTCCAAACTTGCTTAGTGGCAGAACCTTTTTTTGCAGATTATCTAATAGAACTAGTGTTCTAAGGCAGTGGTTTCCAACCTTTTTGGCACCACGGACTGGTTTCGTGGAAGACAATTTTTCCACAGACCAGGGTGGAGTGGTAGAGCTCCATGGCCCAGGGGTGGGGACCACAGTTCTAAGGAACACACTTTGAGAAACACTGCTCTGGTGCAACTCAAATTATAAACTTCCACAATACACCAATAGCCTATAGCTCACTAGAGGTAATTAACAATCTCTAATGGGATTAACCCAGTCTGATCTTCTCACCAGTGTCTCTCTTTCCCGTTGCTGCAGCCTGGCACTTTCCTGCTCACGATTCAGGGCCTCCATGGCCTCAGAAAGGCTCTGTTCCAGGCGGGTTACTGTCTTTCAGGGAGAGAGAAACACAGGACAGAGGAACTGAGAGAAATTTCTGTATACTATACTTCAAAGAGCATTAACAATGTAAAACTTGAAAATTCAGAGTTAACTAAATGAGTTGGGTGCCAAAAAGAAGACTACATGGTGTGGGAAAAACTGGGAAAACATTGATCATGCAAGTTTAACAGCAGAAACAGTGAAGGGAGAGGAAAGAGGGGACGAGAAGAGTTGTCGGGACAGCTACTATAAGTTCAAGGTCAATTTATTGGGAACCCTAATTCCAGAGCTATTTCTATCCCTTTCCATCTAGAGATCTGTGACTTAGGTTCTAATGCCATATGATCCAGGTTGCCTACCTCCTGTTGCTTGCTTCTGGTGAGTTCTGCTGCCTGGCGTTCCTCTTGAAGTCCCCGAAGCACCTCTGTCCGCTCAGCCTCATGCCGGTTCCAACCCTCCACCACTCGGGCCAGGGTCTTAAGTAAGGGAAGTAAGATGGAATTCCAAAATAACTTTTTTGCCCCCTTTCTACCCACAGGGGGTAGGGTCAACAGCTGTGTTCTTCAAATAGTAAACCAAACCCATCCCTTACCCCAGCTCTTAGCATACACAATGAAACACTGGTTGGCTACTCCGTTATTTACTATTCCTTAATGCTCTCCATGGAGACCCACCCACATTTTGAAGCCCTGGCACCTTGTCCAGTTGTTCAATCATGATATCTTTCTTGCGGTCAGCAGCCACAGCCACTGCTAATTGTTGCTGTAGTTCTAGCACTCGGGTCTGCAGGCTCTGAATATGGCGCTCACAATGCTAGGAAAAAGGGTGAGAAGACTGGGTGATGCCCATCTTTAGTCTGATCATAGCACCAAACTTTCCAGCTCCTCTAGGGGAAATATGGAGACGAGGAGCCTGGATCCCAAGAACAGAATAGGTTTAGAGGGGGAGAATCAAGAATTCTGGAGCAGGAAACTTGAGGCCTGAGGTCTCCAACAACTCCCTTCTCAGGAAACAGGTGCTTAGATTCCAGGCTCTTCCCTTTCCTGGATCTCCTGAAAAAAATTGCCATAAACCTTCTGGCATAGGTGCAGCAGCCCACACTGCAAAATGTGCAAAGTTACTTCTATTTTAAGAAGCTCATTGGACACAATGATTAAACATAACAAGGATAAAGGGAAAAGCCTTTCATTCATGCCAAAGCAGTTTAAATAGAGGAATAGAGGGTTCCAAAAATGACAACTAATAATTTTGACTTTTCCTCTGCCTTGTTCATTTCTCTGTCCACTTCAGACATTAAGGCTAAGGCTCACAGAAATAAAGCTCATTATTTCACCGAAAGCTATAAAGCCTTTACACAAGCTAGCAAAGTCTGTGTTCATTCAACAAACACTTATGGAGTGTTTCTATGTGTTAGGTATATTCTAGACCTTAGGGAGCCACTGCTGAACAAGATACTAACCCTCATGAAGCTTAGATTTTAGAGAGGAGAAGCAAACAAGAAATATCAGAGTGATAAGCTACATGAAGGAAATAACAGAGTGATTTGACTGACCACTTAGAGGGGAGGTGGTGCCATATTAGACAGAATAGTCAAAGGTCTCCCTGGAGAAATATTTAAGCAGAATCCCAGCTTTCAGGCTCTTAACCTTCAGCCTTTTTCAACACTCAAGTCCCCTATTTTTAACCTTTAGTGCTTTCAAAAGGAAGCCTTTGTATCTCACCTTGCGACGGGTATGCTCTGAATCCAGTGCATCTTTCAGCCCCTGAAAATCCGGGGGATTGAGTGGGGGCCCTGGCCGAAGGCTAGTGTAGCGGGGAAACAATTCCTCCAGGGCTTGGGCTGAGCTAGATGAAGATAAGTCTTGCAGGAGCCGAGTGCTGAGCAAATCAGATAGAGGATGTTAAGGTTGGGAAAGATTTTGGGATCCACTAGTCCAACTGTGATATTTTACAAATGAGGAAACTGAGACCCAGAGAGGACAAGAGACTTGCCCGAAGTCATAAAGCAAGATAGTGACAAATAAAAGATAGATCTGTGATTCACTTAAAGGTCTTAAAGGTTTTACGTCATATGCCTATCTGACATATTCAAGACCCCATCTCTACGAAAAGGAAAGAAAATTAGCCAGGTGTGGCAGCATGCGCCTATAGTTCTAGCTACTTGGGAGGCTGAAGCACAAAGATAGCATGAGCCCAGGAGTTTGAGGCTACAATGAGCTGTGATCACGCCACTGAACTCCAGCCTGGGTGACAGAGCGAGACCTTATCTCTAAAATTAAAAAATATAAAATAAAAATAAATAAAAACAATTGTTAAAAAAGTCTCAGCAGAAACAAGCTAACTCTTCTGAGGGGAAGAAGGACTGGAGGTTGAGAGAAAATCAGGTACTAGGCAGCAGATGCCCATGTTCCTGAAGGAGTAAAGGGGATAGAGAAGACAGGAGAGAAAGGATGAAAACTGAAAGCTAAGTAACAAGCCTCTTGGGTCATTAAGAAGTACAAAAGCAATAAGGGGAGAGCTAAGGAATAGAACGCTTGGATTTCCAAGAAAGCAAGCAAGCTAGGAGAACCCCAAGAACTCACTTGAGCAAGGTGGCAGTGCTGTCACTGTCAAAGGAGTCCTCTTCTCGTCTCTCTGAGCCAGCACCTGCAGTGAGGGGATCTCCTGCAGGAAGCCAGAGGGAACCCACCACCAGAGTCAGGTAAGGACAGGAACAGGGACCATTTGAAGGAGAAGAGAAGGAAGGACCTTCCTTTCTGCTTCCCCCATCCCACCATCCCTATCCCAAAAAACAGGAGCCTTTTCTCCTGAAATCTCTTGTCTCAGAGGTCTAGGTTTTTCTGCCTGCTTCCTCTGTCCTCCTACCCCTTAAATCTAGGTTCTCCTATATAGCTTTAGGGAAGGGGTTTACTCACGATAGGCTGAATCACGTGAGGTTTGGAGCATGGTCTGGAGTTGACCTCGAACACTTTCCATCTCAAAGATGTGCTTAGAACCATCCTAGGAAAAAGCAACATGGAAATCAGATGCAGTCTGCATAATTTACATGATCTACCTACTGCCAGGAAAGAATTTTTACTTCAGCACTTGGGAAAGCAAGAGAAACAAAATAGATCCAATACAGGCTGTCTTAACCTTGAGTTAGAAACTCAAATATCTATAGGAGCCAGAAAGGTAGTAGAAATGAATAAATTGGGCAGGCATAAGACAAGAATGGTGGGGATTCTTGCCAACTAAAGAACAAATGCCCTGTCTAAAGACTGTATAAGGGCTATCAGTTTTCAAACTCTGGAAGATCAAACCAGTCCTCAAATTGATTATGACACTTTTCCTTCCAACACTAATAATGATCTTCTCTGTAACTTGTACAATTGATTAAATTATGTGTGAATGATCCACATGGCAAATTTTGAACCATACTATCAAAATAGGTTTTGAGTTGGAAGGATTTTAGCATATTTTGCTGCTATCCTAAGTCCCTAGCTCCCTCTTGGGACCAACAAACCCGCTCCCAGTGCCCAAGTGCCAGTCATAGCACACCAACCTACTCCACAGGTTTGCTCCATCTACTCAGAGCAGAGATCTCTCACAAAAAACGCTAGGAAGTTTTACAATTCTCCAAATTATGGTGTCCCAGGTCATTCTCCCTCATAAACATTTGCTCTCAGGAATAAGTATGACTGATGGTGTAGTTAAAAGGAACGTGAAATCCAACCATAGGCGTTCCAATCTCAGCAAAGCTTTTTTTTTTTAACCACACCCTAATCCCAAGGCTCTGGTGTCTAGCATCCTAGAGGTCCCCAAGTCACACCTCCCTTACCTTTTTCTTCAGGTTGTTCTCCAATCCAACTGACAAGCTGTGACTCAGCTCTTGGGCCAAGCCATCTAACACCTCATGAGGAGGTGGGGAGTTGGAGGGTAAATACAGCTGGGCTCGAGCTGTGGCCTCTGCCTGCCGGCTGAGGCGCAAAGACGCATAGAGCTGGGAGGTCACCTCAGAGGACGCTTGGTTCAGCCCAGGGACTTCTGAGGAATCACTCAGGAGATCCTCTGCTCGGAGAGGTGAACTGGGGCCAGTAGCTGATGTCGCCATGAGTACAAGGAAGAGACAACTGGAGACAGCAGAAAGCTGGGAGGTTCTGCTTTAGTAAAGTCCAGGGGGAAAAGTTCACAGAAAAGGGAGATTTGGGAGAGGGGAGGAAGACTGCACGCCAAGGATCCTTGGTGAATAAAGGTATGGAGGCCTTCTGGTTAGAGGAAAGGTTTCCACTGGTTCCAGAGGCCATGGGAGAGGGCAAAAGTATTCCTTTCCCCAGCTTCTGGGAACGGTGTTAAAAGAGGGTGCGGCACAGAGGGGGTGTGGACAGACCTCCTGTGGGGACAACAGCACCACTGCAGTTTCTCTTCCCAACTAGGAGTGCTGGAAGTGGCAGATCAGCTTCAGCACAGGCTATTCCTGGTCAACGGAGCTCTTAAGTTCTCACACCCAGAACTTGGAAACTGAAACGAACTCAAATCCGGTAGGGGCCCAATTTCTGTTCCGCTGCCTTATTTGTCCCTCAGCTGGCTCCAGTCTCAAAAGACGCAGGAACTTCACGCCCCGCACCTCCCCCCCTACTTCATGCGTTCCACCCAGGGTCAACTCCCTTGTACATCCCCTCCGACCCCTCCTGGCAAGAAAGCCATAGCAGAGCTCCCTAGAACCCCTCCCTCCCACCCCAAAAGAAAGCTCGTAAATCCTCAGTCACGCCCTCAGACGTCCCTAAAAAGAACGTCGCCTCAAGCCTAGCCTGAGATCTTCTACCCCGACCACCCCGTCCCAATTACTCTTCACACTTCCAGTCCTTGACCCCCAATTTGCCAAGGCGGGGACAAAAGACTGCCCCCGTCCCCTGAGCCCAGGTTCGGAAAGACCCAAACACCCCCTCTCACACGACCCTCTACTCTCAAAACCGTTGGCAGCCTCCCGCCCACCGCCCACAGCCCCGCCTCTCTCGCCTCGATGACGTCACCCGCCCGCGATCCCACACGGGCAGCAGCTCTCACTGCTTTTGGATCCCGCGACCCTGGGCGCGCGTGCGCAGCTCCAGCCGCCGCGGATTGGCTGAGGAAGGGAGGCAGAGTCTGACGAGAGGCTTTGGAGCGGAGTCAATGTTCCACCGTTGCGGCTTGAAGACCCGGCGGGGCGGAGCTCCGCGGAAACAGGAAGTAGCTCCTGACTGGCACTCGGAGCAGTTCCGGTGAGTCCGGGGGTGGGGTCCCCGCCTGGTTGGAGGGATCAGGGACCCAGAACCCGAGGCCACGGAGTAGGGGTGGTTACGGAGCGAGGCTCACACTGTCTGTCCTGCAGATGACTGTCCACAACCTGTACCTGTTTGACCGGAATGGAGTGTGTCTGCACTACAGCGAGTGGCACCGCAAGAAGCAAGCAGGGATCCCCAAAGAGGAGGTGACGAGAGGGCCCCGGCGCAGCCTGGGCGACCTCCGCATCTCCAAACGCACTTAGTCCCAGCCAGCCTTTCCTCTCCAAACCCCGGCTCGTCTCCCCTAGCCCAACCCCGTCTCCCTCTGCAAACGAGAGCTAACTCGGCCCCTCTCCCTCCAGGAATACAAGCTGATGTACGGGATGCTCTTCTCTATTCGCTCGTTTGTCAGCAAGATGTCCCCGCTAGACATGTACGCGGAGTCAGGATGTTGGGAGGAGGGCTAGCCTTGGGAATTTTGGGGTGCAGTAAACTTTTTGGAGTGGAAGGGGCATTGGCCCCCAGAGAGGGGAGGGGGACTTAGAGAAAGAGGCTGAATCCGAAGCAAGAGTGCTGAAGCTGGCAGGAGCGGCGGTGAGGAAGGTCTGAAGGTAGAGAGGTTGAGGGTTGGAGCTAAATTGAGCTGTAAGGATGGGCTAGGCGGTGTCTTTACTCAACCAGGCTCCTACAAATGATTTGTTTAGACGAAGAGGGAGTCAACCTTGAGGGGATCAGAAGTATCTCTTTGAGAGAGCTTTTGTTCCCATTCTTTAACATCCTCCTCATCTCTACAGGAAGGATGGCTTCCTGGCCTTCCAAACTAGCCGTTACAAACTCCATTACTACGAGACGCCCACTGGGATCAAGGTTGTCATGAATACTGACTTGGGCGTGGGATCCATCCGAGATGTGCTGCACCACATCTACAGTGCGGTCAGTGCCAGCCCCGGGGACCCTTCCCCCAGAGCTCTTTAACGGCCATGGCCAGTTACAGCCCCAAGACTCCCTCAGTTTCCCTGCCCTAATCCTACTATATCTCGATTGAACTCAGAGTTTTCTCAAGGCCTCTTAGGTCCTTAAACACTCCCACCACCAGTTTCTCCTCAGGGAGGGCCTGCCTCTCAGCCCTTGTTCCTTGTGCATTCACATACCCTTGAGGTTATACTAGGTTTGGGGTTAAAAATGAGAAGTGTCCAAAGCCTGACTCTAACACCCTCCCCCTCCATAGCTGTACGTGGAGCTGGTGGTGAAGAACCCCCTGTGCCCGCTGGGCCAAACTGTGCAAAGTGAGCTCTTCCGCTCCCGACTGGACTCATATGTCCGCTCTCTGCCCTTCTTCTCTGCCCGGGCTGGCTGAAGCCTCAAGAGGATTCATGCCTCAAGAGAATTCATGTCTGCCTGGGGTCCTTCCTAATCTCTGCCACTGGAGGGACCCCACTGTAAGTCCCTACACTGCCCCCCTCCTAGGGCAGCAGCCCAAAGGCCTGTCCCGGTGCCCTCCACATCACCAGAATGAAGCCCACAGGAGTCCCTTCACCTCCAAACCAGGCCCTCTCCCCATTTTTATCCCATACCTGACACTGCGAGAATCACAGAATAAACCTTGTGTCACCCTCTGCTGCCTGAGTGTGTCAGTTGAATGAGTCCTCGTGGTCCTACCCCACTCATGAGGAGGGAATAGGGTAGCTGAACCCCCCCTGAAGCCTGCAAAGAGGCTTTCTTTCTTACTTTCTTTCTTTCCTTTTCTTTCTTTGAGACAGTCTCACTCTGTCACCTGGGCTAGCGTGCCGTGCTGTGGCTCCTGGGCTCAAGCAATCTTCCTGCCTCGGCCTCCCAAGTAGCTGGCGCTCCCAGGCGCTTGCCACCACGCCCCACTAATTTTTTGTTTCTATTTTTAGTTGGCCGGCTAATTTTTTCTATTTTTAGTAGAGACGGGGGACGGGGGTCTCACTCTTGCTCAAGCTGGTCTCGAACTCCTGCTCTCAAGTGATCCTCCCGCCTCAGCCGCCCAGAGTGCTGGGATTACAGCCAATGGGTTTCTTAACAGCTGCACTATTGACATTTTGGGCTGGATAATTCTTTGGTGTGGGGGCTGTTCTGTGCTTTGTAGGATTTTAGCTGCATCCTGGGCCACCACTCACTAGATGCTTATAGGACAGCCTTCCTCACCGCAGTCGTGAAATCAAAAATGTCTCCAAACCTTGCCAAACGTGCTCTGGATGACAAAATCCCTCCCGATTGAGAATCACTGGGTAAGGGGAAGGCTGACAGGCCTCTGGTCCCAGAGGGTGGAAGAACCACCCTCTTGGGTTCCGCTCACAAGCTGCGGGGCCTCGGCCTTGGGTGGCGAGTCTCACGCAGATGAGCGGCAGGTTTGGCTAGGAGGCGGGCGGCTCTATGCAGATGAGAGGGCGGTGCCTGCATGTTGATAAGCTGGGCCCGCTGCCGACGCTGCTGGGAGCCTAGCGGGTCCCGCTGCGGTTCGGGCTGAAGTGGCATCCCTCTCCCGCCCCCCTCGTCCCTGGGTTCCTGCCTTCCGAGGACTGTCCTCGACCTTTACCCTCGTCCATTTCCCCTGCCTTACTCCCTACTCCACTGCCCCCCGTAACTGAATATCTCCACTCCTGGCGCCCCCAGCGTTTCTCCCCTCCCGCCGCAAACCTCGCGACCTCCAACAGCCCGCCCCCGCGGCCGGATCTTGCTTGGCAGATCTCACCGCAGCCTCCCGGGTCTTCCCGCTCTCCGGGGGCTCGCCCCACTACGCCGCCGGGTTGTCAGCCCTCGGGCTTCCCTGCTCCCTCCTCCCACCCCCTTGAAGCCCCCTCCCCCGCCCTGGCCAGCCGGCATGCAGGTGTCTATCGCGTGTACCGAGCAGAACCTTCGCAGCCGGAGCAGTGAGGACCGTCTGTGTGGATCCCGGCCGGGCCCCGGGGGCGGTAATGGCGGGCCAGTCGGCGGGGGGCACGGGAATCCTCCGGGGGGTGGAGGGTGGGGCCCCAAGGCCCGAACTGCACTGGTTCCCCGACCCCCAGCGCCTGCTGGGGCCCTCCGAGAGAGCACCGGCCGAGGCACTGGCATGAAATACAGGTATGGGGGTGGCCGGGCAGCCCGCCCCATCTGCTCCCCTTTCGGGACCCCTGAGGCTTCCTGAGATGGCCACAAAGACCCTTTCAAACTTCACTGACAAGGTCCCTGTTCTTTCCATCTCTTCTTCCCTTCACCCGTACTTCTTTACTTTGTCCCTCTCTTGGTCTCCTTCAATACCCCTGACTACGAGAGAATCAAGTTTACCGAGGTTGACTGGGTCCTGTCAGACTGAGGGGATGCCCCTGACCTTCCCTATTTACCTCTAGGAAGGCTGGGGATGCACAGATCTCCAAGCTGCACACATCTCCAGGCTGTGCCCCACTCCAATGGAGTGTCCTTGGCTCGGCGTCCTGGGGAGAGGAGGGAGGGAAATGGCTTCTCACTCTGACCTGCTTGGGGTGCCTGACCCAGATACTCCCCCAACCTGCCCCAAGGGACCAACCTCCTGTGACCTTTCCTGGGGGGAGGGGAGTGAGGCCTGTGAGAAGGATGGACCACATCTTTCATCTCCATGCTGAGGGGCAGGGTCTGGGTGGGGAAAGTGAACCGACTTTATCTCAGAGAACTGGGGGGCCAGGGGCTCTTAGAACTCGCGGTAGGGGGAGGGGAGGGGCTCCTGCTTGGGAGTGAGACAAGGTCACTGATCTGACCTGCTTTGTCACCTAAGGAATCTGATCTCCTCTGTGTGTGCGGTGGCCCTGATTGGGAAACTGAGCTGCCACCTGGGTGGCGGTCATTAGGAGGAGGAGGGGACTCAGAGGTTCAGAGACAGTTTTCCAAGCCAATAGGAGCAGAGGGAGTGGAGAAGGGAGAAAGAGAAATAGGCTTTCCTGTAATACACTCTGCTACCCCCCAGGTCTCCTATCTGCCTTTGCTGGAGGTCCATCTGTCCATCTGCCCTGCCTAACTAGGGACCCTTGCCTGTCTGAGTGCCTGAATTTGACTTGGTTTACCTCTTCTCTCCTAGTGTCTGCCCTTCAGCTCACAAACTCACCACAATTAGCTAGTCACACTCTTCCCAGCCCTCCCACTTCCACACATCCCAGAGATGACTCTAAACACAGAAAAGACCTCACCTAGAAGAAGGACAAACCAGACAGCATATCTTCAATGTGATAGGAGAGAACAGAGGCACTGGACAGAGGAACAGTCATTTATTGGTTCACTTATTCTTTCAACAATATTCCTAGGGCCTCTGCTATGGAGCTAGCACTTGCTCAATCCTGTAGGCCCACTGAGTCTAGTTTCTTTGAACTGAGATACCCTGAGGGTTTCTCAGTCCAGAAGGAGAGGAGCTGGGGGCTGATAATCTAGGTCCCTAATGAGGCTCCACCCCTTCCTGCTGCTTCTGAATCCTGTAGGAACCTGGGAAAGTCTGGTCTTCGGGTATCCTGTCTTGGCCTGGGTGAGTTAGAACAGGGATTAAGGGAAGGGGGCATTCTTTCATGGCCTGCCTCTTACAGCTCTCATGTACGTGGCTTCTCTCTTGCAGGTACCTGGGTCACATTTGGTTCTCAGATCTCAGATGAGGTATAAGTGATGGGATCTAGAAACACGGTGGGGGAGGGGGAGGAAACCAGAAAAAGGGGAAATGGACCTGGATAGAGGTTTGGACAATAAGCATGGGGAATGAGGGATCTGAGGCTGGAGCTTGGGGAAAGGGAAGAGAATGTGGAAACCAGGGCTGAGGTTTGGTGGGTTAGAGTGTAGTGAAGGTGGTAAGTGAGGGGCAGTAGTGGATCAACTCTTTCTCTCACCTCCCTAGATAGCCGAGGATGTGCTGACAGTAGCCTATGAGCATGGTGTAAACCTGTTTGACACCGCTGAAGTGCATGCAGCAGGAAAGTAAGGACTGGGATCAAAGAGCTAAGTTCCATCTGGAAGACTGAGAGAGCATCAGGGCTCTTGTTTTCCCTCTAAAGAACCCTGAGAATTCTGAGAACATCAAGTTCCAACCTTTCAGCCAATGGGTCCCCAAAGCATTATGGGAGTTGTAGTCCCAATATCAGTCCCTCTCAAGCTTAGAAGTCACTGGGCATACTGTGTAGTCACATTAAATAAAGTCAACAAATATATCCTGGGCATTAGTTATGTGCAACTATGTGAGGATTACAAAGCTAAATTTTCAAACACACTGCCCCATCACACATCCATGACTTCACACTGGAAGCAGTAAAAACCTAGGATGACCTACCCTTGCCTCTTCCACATCTGGCAAATACTTCTGCTCATCTTCAAGACTTGACCCAAATGTTCACTCCTCTAAGAAGTGGCCGGGGGGTGAGGGCAGTGGGCAGCCCAGATGGTTAAAGGCAGACAAGGCAGTGTCCTCCCTGGCTCTACACCATCCATCTGTCCTTCTTCCCTCAATCCTATTCTATTTTAGTACCCACAACAGTGCTTGATACATAATTGATGCACAACAGATATCTGTTGAATGAATGAATAAAGGAAAACTATATAGCTACATCCCTAGTTCCAGAAGCCCCTCTTACATAGTCTAGGATGGGGCTGAAAGCCCAAATTGGCTCCTGGTTTATGCTCTACTTTATAAGAGAGGAAAAGGTGGGGAAGAGTAGAAGGAATTGATCCACCTTGGAGGGGTCAGTGCCTCTGCGTTGTCTCTTTTAGGGCTGAAAGAACCCTAGGCAACATCCTCAAGAGCAAAGGTTGGAGGTGAGACTGTGTTTTGGGGGGTTTCTGGGGACATGATCATCCAAAAATCCTTTTCTTGCTGGTTCTCCCATTTCTCCTTTTCCAGGAGATCAAGCTATGTCATCACCACCAAGATTTTTTGGGGAGGACAGTAAGTGGCTGCCCCACTATGATTGGGGAGAAGACCTAAAAAGAATGTGTTCAAGTGTATGGGAAGGGGGTGGGGATAGCTGTCCTGCACCTGCTATCCCAGGTCTGCACCCTGCTTGTGAGGACCGTGCAATCCCAGTTCCTCACCACTCCAGGCCAGCCCTGGTCCCCTATCTTTATCACACTTTATCTTTGACTTACCTTTTCCTACAGGGCAGAAACTGAGAGAGGCTTGAGCCGCAAACACATCATTGAGGGTGAGAATTAGGGGCTGGGAAACTGAAGTGGTGGGGTATGGAAGCCAGAGGAGTAGGGAACATTTTCTGAAGCTCTGAATTGGAGGCTTTGAATATGGACTTAGGTGGCCATGGCAAAGGGATAGGGTCCAAATTCTTAGTAAACTGAACCTGAGGTGCTTATTTTCCTTTCCCCACCCCAACCTCCAGGCTTGCGAGGATCCCTAGAACGCCTCCAGCTGGGATACGTGGACATCGTCTTTGCCAATCGCTCAGACCCCAACAGTCCTATGGAGGGTAAAAGCAGCACCCCAAAGCCTGACAGTCTTTCAACACTAAGCACTCCCTCAAACCCTCAGCAGGAAGCCAGCCCTCACTTAGAAGACCTGCCAAGCTCCACAGTGGAGGCTCAGATCTCATGACTTGGACAGGGAGGGAGGCAAAGAACAGATACAAACCTCTCTGACTCCACAGAGATGCTTAGGGTCTTAGTGGGGCAAGCAGAGTTCTGCAGATCTGGAGCCCTAGATTCCAGAGGTCTGACAGTGAGGCTCTCCCTCTCCTGTGTGCCTAGAGATTGTACGAGCCATGACCTATGTCATCAACCAGGGCCTGGCCCTATACTGGGGGACATCCCGATGGGGGGCTGCAGAAATCATGGTGAGTGTGTGACTCTACTTCCCCCTGTCCAACAACTGGTTCCCACTTTTCAGATGACTACTCCAAATCCCACTGGACTGGGGGGAAGGAGTGCTCTGACCCCCATCTCTTCCCCACCCCAACCCAGGAGGCCTACTCCATGGCCAGACAGTTCAATCTGATTCCTCCCGTGTGTGAACAAGCTGAGCACCACCTGTTTCAGAGGGAGAAGGTGGAGATGCAGCTGCCAGAGCTCTACCACAAGATTGGTTCGCAGACCCTCATCCCTAACTTTCCCCCAGCCTCATCTGTGGCCTAGGTCCCTTTGCCAATACCCAGTCTTCTTCCTCTTAGGTGTTGGCTCAGTCACCTGGTCCCCTCTGGCCTGTGGGCTCATTACTAGCAAGTATGATGGGCGAATCCCAGATACCTGCAGGGCTGCCATCAAGGTGAGATCTGGGAGCTCAAGATGGCAGGACTGTGCTATCTGGGCTACTCTGCGTGCGCGTGGGTGTGTGTGTGTGTGTGTGTGTGTGGTGGTGGTGGTGGTGGGGGTCTTTTGCTGATTCTTCTTGGCCTCCAGGGCTACCAGTGGCTCAAGGACAAAGTGCAGAATGAGGATGGCAAGAAGCAACAAGCCAAAGTCACAGACCTTCTGCCCATCGCTCACCAGCTGGGCTGCACTGTGGCCCAGCTTGCTATTGGTGAGACACTGCCAGCCCTGGGCCCTGCAGGGGCCCTATCTCCTCCGAGATGCTCCCGAACCTGTCCGCAGACTGACTTGTCCCTAGGGAGGGGCCTCTTCTTCAGAGACATCTCTGAAGTCTATGTGCTCACTGTTCTCCACCGGTTCTCTTTTTTTGCTCCTCTGGCCTCAGCGTGGTGTCTCCGCAGTGAGGGTGTCAGCTCGGTCTTGCTGGGGGTGTCCAGTGCAGAGCAGCTGATTGAACACCTGGGTGCTCTACAGGTGAGCTAGAGACTCAGAGGCTTAGCCTATCTCTGACCCCTTCCTCAGGGGTCAAAGCCATGCTGTCCAACCCAAAATGGCCCTGTGAGGTCACCCACTACAAAGTCCTCACTTTGCAGGTGAGAGGTCCCAGGGCCACAAAGCGAGGCAGGGGCACAGATGCGACTCTTCTTGCCATTGGCCCCACTGTGATTTTTCCCCGGGTCCTTGAACCCCATGCCCTTCCTCAGTGACCCAGCATGTACTACCCTCTCCATCACCCCACTATCCTCCAGGTGCTGAGCCAGCTGACCCCGCAGACGGTGATGGAGATAGACGGGCTCCTGGGTAACAAGCCGCATTCCAAGAAATAGTGCGTCGGGGGCGCGGGGACCTAACCCAGAGCCGCTGCACCTGCCCCAGAACCGCTTCCTCGCAGCTGCCTCTCTCTGGATCCCTCCCCGCAGCGGCCAGAGCCAGAGTCGCCCCGCCCACTAACGAGTCCCAGCTTTGAGTAGCGATACGCATGAACAAGCCATATCCTTCCGCAGTGAGGCTGAAGAGAGAAAGTAGTCCGCCCGCCACCTGCTGCGTCCTCCTGGCCTTGCAAATCCTGGGCATGAGCTACTGGCCAATCGCTCTCTGCCACTCGCTCCCTTCTCTCTTCCTCCTATTGCCGAGGCCCAGGAAAAAAAACGGGCCGATACAGGAAACATACAGAGTACCTCAAAAGGGGCCCTCGAAATGTTATCAAGGGGTAATAATTTAGTGAGTTGTGATGTCCTCTGGGACTTAGGAAATGGGGCTCTTATGTTATTCGGTGCAAAGGAAGCCAGGCTGGTCCTGGCAGGAAGTAAATGATAACCTTTGGGAAACCAGGACTCTGCCTCCCAACCCAGAGATCAGGGCTTACAACTAGAACTAGTGTAATACTTTGTTCTTGGGAGAGGGCGGTAAGGGTGGGGGCTATAGTAACGCAGCACTGACAAAGGTAGAGGGAAATTTGACAGCAGGTTTACAGTGTGTGTGGCCTGGCAAAAGTGGCCAGGGTGGCCCCTGGAAAATAAAGTTGGGCTGTATTTTGCAGGAATTAGCGACAACCTTTGGGTCACGGGCAGAGACATGGAACTGATATAAAAAGGTCTAGGGATAGATTTTGAGCCTTGAGCGGGACTTCCTACCTGGCAGTGGAGGATTGGGTCTTCCTCCCAGCAATAACCCTAAAGCAATAATGATGGCCTCTCTTCTGTAATACTTCCCAGGGAACTGTAAATAAAATCTCAGTTGATCCTCACAGTGTCTGAAATTGCAGAGGGTTGGGAGGTTAGGGACAGTCTCATGTGTCTGGCCCCTCTGCCCCCTGCCATTAGAAAGCTCCCAGCACTAGCCTTCTCTCCATTGCTCATTCACCTCGGTGACCCAGGCATTCAGTTCCTACTCACTGCTCTCAATAAGGACCCAGGCACCAGGTACCCCAGGCCCCAGATTTCTTCCTTCTTGTGGTCGCCACATTCCTTAGAACCCAGAGATCTGGCTTCATTGTTTTGTTCCTCCTCTTTCTACAAAGGACTCAGCTGTCTGACACCCTTGCCCTTGTTTTTTTAGTTTTTTTTTAAAGTTACATTAGCCATACTTCTTGTCTCGTTCTCGTTTCCCTCTCGCCAGATACCCACACATATGCCAAGGAACTATCTGATTGGTTTTCTTGTGGCTGAGTGGGAGAGGCTGTCCCGAAGCTGAGGCTTTGCCATTTGGAGGGGAGTAAAGTGAAGACCAGTCTATGGTTGAAGGGATACAGAGAGAAGGAAAGGAGTTATAAATTTAAAAGAAAACAAGTGAAATATCAGGTGTGAGGGTAGCAGAAAAGCAGAATCAAATAAAGCTATATGAGATATTACACCTATTCTTCCCCAAATGACTGATTTCCCTGGGACAGAAAGTGACTTAAAAGTTACAGCCTTAATGATCACAAAGCAGAGTAGGATGAGCTCTGCCTTCCTTAAATACAACCTCACCATCTCCCTTTTACCCATCTTCATCCTACCCTGAACCTGAAGCTGGGAAAGCAGAGTAAAACCAATTTCCAAAAGACAAAAGTCAGTATCATGCATTTCCTGGATTAGCAACCAACTGGATCAACTAATGAATACTTACATCCACCCCTATCATTTCCCACTCATTTTGGAAGACAAAGAAGTGAAATGTATGACTAAACTATGATTAGTTATTCTGTAACAAACACTGAAGAATGTATCAACTCAAAATAGTATTCTCCTTAAGTAGTTATCTTGGAGGGTTATGCACTTATTTTAATGATGCCTCCCCCATTGCTTAAAATATTTTATAATTAAAATTCTTCTTAAAATTAGTCTTCAGAGACAGTTTAGAAAGTCCTTGTAAAAAGCCTTCATTGCCACACCTCCTTTGTATATAAACATTTGCCATATTTGTCACTCTCCTGGTTCATTATTTATTTATTGAGTGCTACTATGGAATGGTACAGAATATAGTGGTGAACTAAACCAGACTCAGAACAACCTCCATGCAGCTTGCTGATGGGAAAGACAATCACATAACTACCATATACAAACTTCAGTTGTCCAAAGTCCAAAGGAAAGCACATGGGTTACCAGAGTCTATAACGGGTCTTTGACATGGTGAAGCTGCACTGAGAGCTGAAGGATAAGTAGGTGTTAATAAGGTGAAAGCAAGAGGGTTAGGGGAAGAGCATATGCAAAGGCCCTGTAGCAGAAAGGAACATGCAAGCCAAAGGTCCCCAAAGCCAGGGTATCTAAGGAGAAATAGAAGCAGAATATGAGACATAGATGATTTCAGAACACACAGGGCCTTACAAGGCACCTTAGAATATTATCTTTATCCTAAGGATAGTAGGAAACCCTCTATATCAGTTATCTATTGATATACAACAAATCATCCCCAAATTTAATAGTTCGAAATAACTTTTAAAAATTTTATTATTTTTTTTCATGATTCTGTGGGTTGGCTGGGAATTTCTCTGCTGTTTTCACCTGGGCTCGCTCATTCCACGGCACTTGGCTGAGCAGCAAAATCCAAGATGGCCTCCCAACATGTTTGACAGTTAGAGCTGGCAATTGGCTAGGGCTCTTCTCTTCTCCACGTGGTCTCATCCTCCAGTGGTCTTAAACCTACTTCTTTACGTAGTGGTCTTAAGAGGCAAAATGAACTAGGTTTAGTGATGGGCCGGTAAAGAAAAGTGAGGGCAAGGAAAAGGTCAAGGATAATACCTAAGTCTCTAGAGTTTAGCAACCCTCGAGGGTTCCAAAGGAACAAAGGCAGAAGCTCCAAGGCCTCTGAAGGACAAGGCTCCGGAACTCACATATCCCTTCTGCCCCATCTACTGTCAAAGTTAGTTACGAGGCCAGCCCAGATTCAAGGGATAGGGAAAGAGACCACAATTCTTGATGGGAGAAGCAGCAAAGTTATGTTGCAAAGGAATTTAGGGCCATCAAACTACCACTCCATTAAAAGGTTTTAAACATGAGTGGAAGGAGTGTGTGATAGGCCATGATTCGGTTTGAGATTTGGAAAGACCACTAAACAATATGGAAGGAAGCCAGAGTGCCTGTGGAGACTGGTTAGGTTTGAGGCTCCTGCTGGCGTCTAAGCAAGAAACAGCAGCAGCCTGGACTAGGGTGGTATGCTGGAGGTGGAGAAGAGTAGGTGCATTAGAGAGATATTTAAGAGGCAAAATGAACTAGGCTTAGTGATGGGCCGGTAAAGGAAAAGTGAGGGCAAGGAAAGGGTCAAGGATAATTCCTAAATCTCTGGTGTTGAGCAAAGGAAAGGGCAGGAAATACTGGAAGAAATGCTGGTATGGACACGGAGATCATTAGTTTTGGTTCTGGAAAATAAATAACAAGAGCTGTAGAGCAGGCAACTGATATACAGATCTGGAGCTTAGGGGGGCCTTGGCTGTCAAACACTTTGGGAACATTTATATAATCAAATCTACCTTAAAAGATTAAGATTTACCACCAATTGAAGATATTAAAAGATCTGAGGAGCACCATTCCAAAGGGAAGTTCCAAAGAAGTTCTGAATTATGACAGCATTACTGGAATAAGTAGACAGCTTCCCCCAAGTGATAATGAAGACAATACAACTCAAAATTTCTGAAATGTTTGTGTACAAATAATGTTATACTTCCTCACAAAGATTACCCCTTAAGTCTTAATAATTTAGTTAAAAAACAAAACTAGCTCTACACTGCCTGTTATAGCCAGTTAATGTCTTGGGTGTAGAGAAGTCCATCTTGTACATATTGATCAAGAGAGATGGGTGTTGAAACTGTTGGGTATGGAGAAGTTAAAGTGAACACAATATAGGCTGGGGACACAGGATAATAACAATAGCTAATACAGTATTTACCTGGTGTTTGCTATCTACTAGGCATCATTTTAACCACCTGAAACATATAAGCTCATTCAATTCTTTCTATTATTATTATCCACATTTTATGAGGAAACCAAGGCCCAAAGAAATTAAGTAACTTGCTCAAAGTGTCACAACTAGTAAGTGGTAGAGGCTAGGATTTGAACTCAAGCCAGCTGGCTCTAGACTGTGTTATTACCCTCCACAACAGAACCTGGGCTGCAGGTCCAGGAGAGGAGGGAAGGAGGCAGCTGGGTGTGGGTGTGGCACCATGAGGGAACGTGGGCTGTGAGTAGCATGTCCTGTTTACCTGTAGGGGAAGTCAGACCCCTGAGTCAGAACTCATGCTGGACTGCTTTGCTGGAGCCATCATGATGTGTGGGTGTCCAGGCCTGGATACTCCAGAAGGAAAGGATTCTCGGCATTCCTAAGGCAGTGGTCCTGGAATCTAGGTCCCTGGTTAGGCCGAGATGTCAGCTGGGAGTTAAGCAGTTTGGGAAGAATGAAATTTGGGAAGCTGGCCTTACAAGAACACAGAGAGGTCACGTAGAATACGGAAAATTGTGGGCAGAATGAGTTACTGCCAGAGCAGCAAGCATCGACTCAAAAGGCCCAGGAGCCCACTAAAGGTTGGGTAGAATGGGCAGTGTAACTGGCTCAGGAAGTCTGTTTTGGTGGGGCTGTGAAAGAGTATAAGCAACTGAACAAACAGATCAAGGGGCTTTAGAGACCGGTGCTAGTGGCTGCAGGCTAAGGTGCAAGAAGGAACCTGGGGGTTCGCACACGGTAGAATTAAGGAGTGCTGGGGCACTGTGCTGGGGAGTGAAGGAAGGCGTGACCACCAGAGCTCCAGTCCTAGCATCGTCGCGGCCACCTCCCCCGCGCCGCCATAGCTGTCATTCCTGGCCTCGCACCTCCACCGCCCCAACCCGTGCCACAGCAGGGAGCGGCCCGACCACAGCGTGACGCCACGAAGGGCGGGACCTCAGTATTAAAAGGCGCAAGAGGCCGCGGCGCCCGCCCCAGGACCAAACGCGGGCCACAGGAGGGTCCGCTCGTTCTACCCACGAAGCCGGCAGCATTAGCGACGCCCTTGAGTCCGCGGCAGGCACGATGCAGCTCCTGATGAGAGTGCCCTCTCTTCCGGAGCGGGGCGAGCTGGACTGCAACATCTGCTACCAACCCTTCAACCTCGGGGGCCGAGCACCCCGCCGCCTGCCCGGGACGGCGCGTGCCCGCTGCGGCCACACGCTCTGCACGGCCTGCCTGCGCGAGCTGGCGGCCCGCGGCGACGGCAGCGGGGCGGCCGCGCGCGTGGTGCGCCTGCGCCGCGTCGTCACGTGCCCCTTCTGCCGCGCGCCCTCCCCACTCCCGCGCGGTGGCGTCACGGAGATCGCTGTGGACCCGGGCTTGTGGTCGCGATTGGAGGAAAAAGCGCGGGCCGAGGGCGAACGAAATGAGGCGGGGAGCCCGGCCAAGGAAAGCGGCGATGCTGACGGAGAGGAGGACGAGGATGGGGCGAACAAGGGGGCGGGGCCTAGGAGCGCGGGTTGGCGTGCGCTTCGGCGGCTCTGGTACAGGGTCCTGGTGCCCGCGCGCCGCTGGCGGCGTCCGCTGCCTTGCAATGGTGAGAGGCCGCCGGGGGAGGATGCTGGGAGAGCGCGCTGAAGAACTCCGGGGTTCGGTTGCATGCTCCTGACCTTGCTGCCACTAACCTTTCTTCTCTCCCCCAGTGCTCTACTGTCCCGAGATCAAGGACATTGCCCGTATTACCCGGTGCACGCTGTAATCGGGGAACCGGGAAGCGAAGGCCAAAGGAAGGTGGAAGCTGCAGCTTTGGGACGTGCTTTAGTACTGGGGGCTGATGTCAGGAATACCGCCTCTGAGATCCTGGGATTGTCGCTTGATCGAGAGAGATGAGCCGAGAGGACTGGAGGGAACGCCCTGGGAGGTGCTGATGTTGAGCTGGGGAGGCTCCTAGACGAACTCGCCCCCATCTACTAACTGTGCCAGCCTTACATTTTCAGGATGGAGTGGCCAAGGGATGATACAAACAAAGCCTACGTTACTGTGGGAAGCAGACAGACTGTTTTCTTAGCTTACTTTGGCTTTTGTCCAGGGTGGTTCTGGTGTGTGGGAGCAACAGGTCCCATTTTAGCAATTCTTTGCCAGTGGTTTGAAATTTTTTTTAAAAAGATGGAACAGGAGAGAAGAGGCTAATTTTCATGTCATGTTCATCTAACTTCTCTGGCGTGAAAGGGTGCCTACTGTCTCCCCACTCCCAGTTCTGTTTCAAAAACTTGAGATGCCTCTGTGCCTGTGTGATTAGGAGCCTTACTTCATTTCAGAATCTCCCTTCAACTGCTAATAGGGCAGGTATCAGAAGTTCCAAAAGGCATTTATGTCAGGCACCTAATTAGAGCCTAGGTAGGAAGGGAGAGCCATTTGGTAAAGGCATCAGATTTTAAACTTTTGCTATTATCTGTTATCTTTACAGTCACAGAGAAGCACTGGCACTACTGAAAAAAGACGGTCATATAATTTTAAATTTGTGTCCCATAATGGGACATCACCTATTGTGTGCCATGGATTCTATTTTAAAATCTTGTAAATATCTTATGATAGTAGAGTCATAGTCAAGGACCAGCAGTGTCAGTGTCACTGGGAGCTTGCTAGAAATAAAGAATTTCAGGATCCCACTCCAGACTTCCTGAATCAGACTCCGCATTTTCATAATCCCAGGTGATCTATGTGCATGTAAAAATTTAAGTAGAACTGGTCTAGACTCTAGTATATCACCATCTGTAGGTGGAATATTTAAAGCACAATTGGTATAACTGATAAAAAGTTTTAAAGTAACATTCTATTGCTGAAGAAATCTTACTGTGTTACATTTTTCTTGGTTAAAAATGTGAACTTATTAACCTCAATTTTCTTAGGGGTCTCCAGACTTTTTAAGATAATATTATTTTTGATTGACAAATCATAATTGTATATATTTATGAGGTATAAACCTCAATTTTTATAACCATTTTCCTGTCCTTAAGTCTCAGCTTAAATGTCCTCTCTTTGGGGAGGCCTTTGGCATCATTCAGCCTAGCAGAGCCCCTTCCCTCATCCTTTGCTAACTTAACACTTTTATTTTTACTTTTTTTATTTTCTGATATTTCATGTTTTGTGGGTGTCCCCCACTGGAGTGTAAGCTCCATGGGAGCAATGGCTGAGTTGTGACTGTTTTATCTCCAGGACCATCAGCAGTATTAATGTATAGTATGTACTCAATAAATATTTGTTGGATTTATATCTTTTTAAAAAAATACATAGTGGCTTTTTCCAGCTTCTGAGAGGCTCTATTAGTGAACAATAAATGTCAAGGACGTGTCTAGCAGTTCAAATCTTTTGGCAAGTTATGCAGGCTTGGCCCTCAATTCCTTAGAAAAAAGTGTGTGCCTCTGCTTCATATTGGAACTGAACCTGTGGAGCTGTAGTGACCTCTACTGACTCTGAGGGGTACTAAGCAATTTGAAGGAGAGAAGGATGATCGAAAGAGTGGCTGAAAGGCAGTTTTGAATCTTGCCCAGGCACTCTGCCTACCACACTTCTGCCCAGTAAGTCCTGTTCTCTCTGTGCTCAACCGGAGGCCACATAGGTATTTGCTGCTCACTTTCCATCTCTACACAGTGCATCACGTGGCTGGGGTTGCAAAAAAAACCTCAGTTTTAGTGAATGATCTAAGAGATAAAAATGAGTAAAAGGACAAAGTCACAAGATTTTAAAAAAAGAAAAAGATGAATATGAAATGGCAGAAAGCAACAATGCTTCCTATCCCTCCCCCCAACAAGAACTCCCCCCAGTCAAAAATAACAGAGCACACAGAAAGGAAAGTATAATTTATATGTACAACCAATAAACCTGATACAGAAGAGGGGATCAGGACAGACCAGGAGTGGGTGTGAAGAGAGACTGGGAAAGGGGCAGCAAGAAAGTGAAGGGGCAGCGAAGAGGAAGTGGGAGGTTCGCCATGCAAACTGCCACTCTCCCCGGCCCCTCCTGGGAAGGGGGATGTGCCCACCTCTCCCTAGCCTGCCCTCCACCATTTTGCTCTGGTCCCAAAGGCAAGGTAGGTCCCAAGACCCTGACTAGGCCCCCTGCCTGACCTACTCAAATTTAGTCTATATCCAGGCCATGAAGAGGGAGGGTAGAAGTCCTCCAGGGACTGAGCCCCAGAGCTGGGGGCTTCCTCCATGTCTGGCCCGCTGTATTCTCTCCCACCCTTCTAGGCTACCTGGGTTCCTAGAACAGGTTGGGGAGCTCCTCTTTGGCTTGAGGGAGTATCGCCCAACCATTACTCTTTTTGTAGGGGTGGTCCTTGGTCCCTAGGGAAGGGGAAAAAGATTCCCAACACACGATGCTGGTACACAGGAGGTAACTGAGCCAGTGAATGGCGCCTTTATTCTGAGGCTGAACAGCAATTGACTCCCTTCCTTGGTAACTGCTCCACCCTCCACACAGGGAGAGGTAGGGGAAGGTAACATGCAGCCACCCCTTTTCTTCCCCTCTTCCCTCCCAGGGCTCAATTTCATCCCTCTCTAAAAGTCCACCTTCTCTCTTCAACGCTCTTTTCCCCATAAAAGTTCCTAAAGGCCAGGCAAGGCTAATCCCCCATTTCTGCACGATGGAGCTGATATTGCAGGAAAAAAGACTGGGGAGGCTCCACCTCTTTCCTCCCCACAACCATTTATTGGGAAGCTGCATATATTTGGTGGGGGGCAGTGGATAAAGGTACTTGGAAGACCCTGCTAACCATCTCCCACCCAGACCTCTTCTCACCAGCACAGTCTTCAAAGGTTGGTGGGAAAGGTGCATGGGAGTGGAGAAAGACAAAGGGCCCTTCTTGAAGAGAGGAGCTGTAGAGAGGGGCAAAGGGGCTCCTAGCCCAGTGGTGACCCAAGGGGTGGGGAAGGCGGAGGGTTGGCAGCAGGCCCCAGAGCCTGAGCTGGGGGTCGGCCTCGGGGACGGGGCCTGGGTGAAGGGCAGGCCTGGGATCCAGTCAGTCGTCTATACAGATCACCTCCCCGGCTCGGGGCTCCTTCCGATCCAGCCCGTCTGACACCAACGCCCCCACCATTTCCTTCTCCTTCTTCACCAGCACTGGAGGGCCGTTGGTGGCGGCTGTTTGGGAAGGGGGTAAGGAAAGGTCAATCCCCCCATCATTCCCAAACATCACTTTCTGGCAATACTATATTCTCACCTTTAGGTCACCTCTTGCCACTTCCTGTTGTCCCAGGTAATTTTGGGTGGGAAGATCAGGATGAACCCCTCTCCCTGAGATTCCACTTTGTACCACATGATCGAACATGTTCTAACTCTCACCATACCCCTTCTGATTTCATATTCACTTTTCTTTGAAGTAACCCAGATGGAGGAGGCTTGGGTACAAGATACCAAACCACAGAATCACTAAAACCCTGGAGGAAGTTTTGACAATGGGGATAGAAGAGGGCTTAAGAAAGGGATAGGAAGAACAAAGCCCAGAACAACTCTACTCCATAACACACTGGATGTGGCCAAGGACATGAGATGGACTAGAGCAGTGAAAGGGCAGCTGAGCAGGGATGAAGCTTGGCAAAGGAGGAGAGGGAGAAGCAGGGAGTAAGAAACCACCAGCTGACCTGTGATGAAGGACCCTGCAGGCATCTGGCTGTAATTGGCGCCTGCGGCGGCCAGGGCCCCTACGGGTGCGGTGCTGAACGCCACCCCGTAACCCGGAGGTGTAGCGTAGGGACCTGGGGGGAAGGCCTGGAATAGAGAGCAAGCTGAAGTCAGAGTTAGTCCACAGTCTGTTGAGAGGAAGCTGTAGGGGAGACATTATGAGCCACACTCCAGAACTACTGAGGGTGTAACATACAGGCAGGGAGACTCACTCAAGGGTGCAGACTGTGTTCTATCAAGTTGTTTTTCCACATTGTATAGGATTCTGATGGAAGTGTTTATATGTGTGCAGGAGGAACACCAACAGGGAAAATGAGTTAGGGGGAAAGAGGGTTACCGGTGTGGGGTGAGGCTCCGTGCCCTTGCTGGCCAGCCGGCTGAGGATGCTGCGCTCGGACATCTGAAGGCGGGCTGCGATGGGGGGTATTCGGGACAGCGTGGCTGGCAGGCGGGTCACGTCCGCCTTCATGTCGCTCAGCAACTCCTCCAGCTGGTTCAGAACTGGGGCCCGGGCCACGGAGAAAGAAGGGCAAGAGAAAGACAGGGAAAGAGAGAGATGGAGCCAGGAAAAGAGAGGAGTCAGATGGACAGATAATAGAAAAAGAAGACACAGATGTCAAAGAACCAGAGACCAAGAAAGTGACAGAAGTAGACAAAAAAAGGAAGCAACTCAGAGGAAAGAAAGAGTCAGGAAAAGAGAGAGACCAGATCACCACAGAGGACAGATGGAGAGAAGGAAGTAAGGAAAAGGGAATATGGAGAATAGGGAGGGGAGGACATTGGAAGACATGGGGGCGGGGAGTTGTCAGAACATCCCATACTGGAAGAGCCAGGTTTAGGGTTGGGGATGATGGGGAGGAAATAGGAGGCATGGGAGGTGGTAAGTGGTATCGAAGCTTTAAGGAATCAAGGTTTTAATATGTAAGGGGAGAGGGAGGTTAGAAAGTCAGTATTACGGATTCAAGGAATTATAACAGGGATCAAAGGGGCCAGGAGTTAGTTACTACATCAGACAGGATTAGATGGTTAGAGAGCTCTGGGATTTCATCTATCATTATCAAGGTAAGAAGGGATGAGAGAAAGGGTTGAAGGTCAAAGGGAAGTTTTGTGGGATAGGGTCAGAAGGTCAGATGGGTAGTAGTTTCTGCCTCATGGGGTGAATAAGATGTGAGGGAATGTGATTTGTGGGATCAGAGCCAAGGATTTTTGTGGCATATATATAGGCCAAGGCCCCGAATTGGATGGTGCTAGCAGTATGGAAGGTGTGCAGTTCCACCGCCAGTGAAGAGGTCCCACTGTGTGGAGGGGACATGGAGTCTGGGGAGGTCTCTTTATTGGGCGCTGATGTGAATACTCTCAGGCATGGATGAGGGTTGGCTTGCACAAGTCCTAGAGGCTAAAAACCAAGGGGGTGCCAGGTGGGTCAGGGGCAGGGTTAGAGGTCAGAGGGGGGTGGGTTCAGAGGGTAAAAGGGTTGGGGGGAAGATTTTGAGGGGTGCGGGGTGAAGACTTACGCAGCGTTGTGGGCCCTCCCCCGCGCGGGGCCGCCGCGGCCCTTACCCTTGTGCAGGACGGCGTTGGCCGGCTTGTTCCCCGCCAGCGACTCCTTGGAGAGGTGCTGGTGGCTCTCGGCCAGGCACTCGGCCTCGGCGAAGCGGGCGTGGAGGGCCATGGCGGGGTGCGCCGGCTCCTGTGACAGGTTCAGGTAGGCCGCCCGCCGCAGCTGCTCCTCGATCACCAGCGCCTGCTCCAGGAGCTGAGGAACCAGGGGTTGGGGGTTGAACACAGGGCTCTGCCAGCAGTAGGTAAGCGAAGGAGGGGACAGACATAGCACTGGAGACCCACCCTGCCCTCTGCTGGCCCAGAGCACCCCAGCTCCATACCAACGACAACCCAGCATCAACCTGACCCTGACCAGAGTCTCGAACACAAGGTTACACTTTGGTCTTGGCCTCAAGCATTGCCTCAACTTTCTTCCCTAGGTTCTCACCAGATCTGGTCTCACTTCTGACCCAAGCCCCTCTACAACCCTGTTCCTCTCCTCCCTCAGTCCCACCTTGAACCTCCGGGCCAGGAACTTATTTTTCATCTCCAGAAAGTTCCCCTTGTTGGCTTCAGTTTTAAATGGCTCGTTGATAATGGCAAACTGAGCATCATTCTGGATGTCTTGCCACCGTGCATAGCCATGGCTGCCAATGAAGGAAAGGGGACCATCAAGGAATTTAACACTTGGCTGTAAACATTTCTTCCCTTTGGCCTGATCTCCCTAAAGTATGGCATGAACATCCCTTCCCTGGGTGTGAACTTGTCTTCACTATAGTTCCCCTCTCTCCACGTTGAGAGAACCTTTTCTTCTTATATTTGTATCAAAGGATACAGGACAATCCCAGCCAGAAGCCAATAGTCATGTCTTCGGTGCCAGATTTCATTGAGTTTCCCCGAGGAAATAGCTGCCCGTTCCTCATTCTGCCATAGTGTGTGAAGCTCTGAAAAGAGGGCAGCAGACAGAACATCAGGGATTTGTAAATCATACCCAGCCCAAAAGACAGGTAGAGATGGGGAAACAGAATAATGAAAGAGTACTAAGAGCTCCCTAAGAAGAATGGGTAAAGGTGAAGCTAGGGGTTAGGAATGAAATTAGTTGTGAACAAGGTTCCGGTTAGGATTAAGAAAAAAGGTGGAATTAGAGACAGCTTTGGCATTAGGAGATACACTTAAAGATTTACAGCAAGAATGAGTCAGCATGCACCACTTCATTGGAAGTTACTTGGAATTAAAAGTAGCAGGAAGCCTCAGGCAAAAATGAGAAACTCCACGAGGGTGAGCAAACCCCATTGAGGTACAGAGAGCAGCAAGAACTCTCCTTACCTGTGAAACCACCATCTGCGATATTGAACATGAACCGGGGCTTCTCTGTCTTCTCCTCGCGTCGCCCGTTGGACCGTGGCTCGTCTCGAGGAGGCCCTGGTCGAAGCTCCCGGTCACCTTTTACATCTTCTGCTAGGACAGATGGGGCAAAGCTCATGACTCAGGACAGTCTATTCCCAGGCCCCAAGACTACTTACTACTACCTATACTGTACTGAGGAGCTACCCAGCCAGAACCCAAGCATTCACTCCCCCAGACTCCACCTCCCCTGATGCCCTCTCAGACCCAGGGGTCCATTCCTTCCACCCATTACCTCTCTTGCCCAAATCCCCTGCTTCCCCCTCCGGCCTCTCCCTGTGCTCCTGTCCATCCAACGGCTTCTCCTCCCCCCTTTCTCCTGGCGTCGATTCCGTGGCTGTGGGAGGGGGCAGGGGATAGGAAGGGAGGATGTCACCCTTATCCCCTGACCCCAGAAAATGGAACCCCCATGTTCTAATCCCCCATCATCCCTAAGGCCATGCACCTACCTGACTTCTCTCTGTCTGCTCGGTACCCAGGTTCAGGCTCCATCTCTCCAGGTACCCCTGGCACCTCGTCCTCTAGAGGAATCTTCCTTGGCTCCAGCCGTTCCCCAAGAGATGGGGCTGGGCTGGGGGCATCAACCTAAAAGAGGACAAGGGAGTCAGGATGAGCCAGAGGTCAGGCACCTGGCATCCAAGACCACCCCACTACTCCTCCCTGGGGGAAGCCAGGTAGCCACACACCTCTGTCTCCATCTTCTCCCCAATTTTGCTATTCTTCTCTGGCTTCTCCTCCTGGTTTTCAGCTTCCTCCTTCTCAAGAGGTGTCCTCAGGCCCTCTCCTTTCTCACTTGGAGCTGGAGTAGCTGCAGGGAAGGCAGAGTGAGGAAGGCAGAGGTCTCCCTACCCCAACTCCTGACCCCATTTTTATCTCTCTTATCATTCTGACTCCTGATTACCAGGTTTAGAGGTGCAGGGACTGTTGGTAGCAGAAGCCTCAGGAGTGGTGGGGGACGTTTTGGTAGGAGAGGAGGCTCTGGAAGAACGCTTGGAGTCGGCACTGGGGTCAGGCATCAGCTCCGGCATTGACCAGCGCCCGTTGATGTGCTCAAACTCCTGCACCTGGGGTAGAGAGATGGTGGTTAGCTCCAGGCACTGCACATGCAGAAGTCCTGGTCCCCTCTGTCTTGCACCAGCATGAGTCCAGAACTCAGGGACAGAAGGTAGAGGAAAGACAGAGCCTAAGTGGCTAGCTTGATTATTTGGGTGATAGGAAGACTGATACCTTCTTCTTGACGAGAGACATGACTCCAATGCGGGTCAACACCTGCTGGCGACTCAGTCCCTCCCGAGGGACGCCATCAGCAAAGGTTTCAGAGCCGTCTGCCCCAGGCTCACACAGATGGCGCATGAACAAAGATACATAGGCCCTAAGGAGCATAGGAGTGAGAGGAGGGTGAGGGGAGCCTTATCAGCAGTACAGGGCAGTGAGGAAGGTACAGGGATTACTGAACCCCTAAACCCCAAACTCTCCAGGTGCTCCAGGGCTCCCCTGGGCCTTTCACTCTGTTACCAGCCCTTTAAACTGTTAACTGCCCAATGGCCTCTCCCGTGTCTTTCCTGTCTCCTTGCTCTGGGTACTTTGTTCCTGAGCCCCATCAGTCAGCTCTTCATCCTTTTCACCAGCTCCTCCTGCCAGGTTATCGTGGCCAAGTAAATGTGAGGCTAGGACAGCCCAGGCGAGGATCCTTACGTAAACGCCTCTCCCCCGGAGAGGATGCCTGGCCCTTCTACTCTAGGCTTGGCTGAGGGGAGGTGGAGTAGGCTGAGTCCACCCCCCAGGAAACCAAGCCAGGAGGCATTATATGGCAGGGAGGGTGATGATCAGTTGAGTAAGGTCACATCATATGGTGGCCAAGAGGAAGAAAGTAACACCCAAAGCTCTTGTCCTTGCACCTAACTCGGCTCCATGTCACCCACACTCACTTGAACTCCTTCTCTGTCTTGCCCCTCAGGTCCCGCACGAGCCACTGTGTGGTGAAGGCATCCTGTGGTGGCATCCCCCAGCGCATCACAGCATTGAGGAAAGCCTTCCGCTGACGAGTGTTGAATCCCAACACCTGAGGGTGGGGCAAGGAAGCAGTGGCGATGAATGTCCAGGGGTCACAGGTCTTGGTTCTTTCTGTCATCAGTGACCCAGGCCCCAATATCCAACCCCCAACCCTCATTCTCTCCTTAGAGCGCTCAGAGAGGTCTGGGCCCAACTCTCACCTCGATGTTGCCCCCAACTCGGGCCAGAAGTGGAGGCAGTGGCTTATCCTTTTCATTCCGGAGCTGCCTCTTTGACTGTCGACGCCCTGAGGGTGGGGTTGACACCGGTTAGTTGATCCATCTCCTCTAAGCACCAGTCCTCCCTCAACACCCCATTCCCACAAGATACAGAACATAAGAACGGCTCATGTCATGTTTGAGGCACTTCTAATTCTTTTCCAAGCACTTCCAGAACTACTAACCCAGTGAGCCTAAAAAATATCAAGTCATATTTAAAAATGAATAGCAAATATTTGACACAGGCAAGATTACCAGTGGGAATGTAAAATGATGTAACCTTTCTTGACCTAGGCATTAAAGCCTATGTGGTTATACACTTCAAATTTTAATCAGTGGAGAGATTATGAACATTTCTTCCTTTCTCCTTATTTGCAATCTTTAGTTTTTCCAAAAAAAAAAAAAAGCATTTTTTATTTATATAAAAACAGTGGGCTTAAAGGACACTGGGAAATGAAATGGAAAGAGCTGAGGTAGAGTCAGGAAAACAGATACCACCTTCAGGACGTTCATCGAAGTCTTCGTCCTCCTCCTCTGATCCCACTGAATATTCTGACTGGTTATCTGTAAGGGTAGAGGGCTCAGTGGTCGGTGAGGAATACCTGGATAAGCTTGTGCTGGGGCTCTTCCTGCCTGGATTCCTCCTTGGGAGACTCGTCTACCTCTACCCTGGCCTTGGCCCTTCTGATGGTTGCTGGATCACTGCCTGCAGTCTGACTGTAGAGCCACGTGTCCTGAACCATCTCTACCCATCACCCACCTTCAGTCTCTGAGCACCTCTTGTTCTGCCACCCTGACTCCTACTGACCCTACTCTAAGCAATGACCCCTAGGTGTCCACAGGATCCCTTTGCAACCACCAGATAGTTTAAATCACCTGTAAACCTACCTGGTCTCCAGCTAGTTTCTAATGACCATATCTGAGAGCTCTCTCTTCTAGCAGGGGAAGGCTCTGACCTCTAGGCCTCTCTCTTTTCCTCTAAATAGCCCCAGCCTCCAAGCCTCATCACTTCTTCCCTTTTCACTTCCTGCATCTGGGGCAGTTCTCACCTTGGTCCTCCTGAGCAGCATCATTGTAGTTAACTTGCTTGCGAACCCTCTTGCCTTTGCCTAGATTCCGGGCTAGGTCTTCCTGCTGCTGTTCATAGTGATGCCTCAGAAGCTTCTCCCAGTAGTCAGGATCCACATTCTCCTCCTGCTTGATAATCTCTCGCTCGATTTCCTCAATCTGAAGGGCAGAAGAACGAATGCTGGCGGACTCCTTCTTCACCAGTCCTTCCGCCACAACAAAATTCCTAGTCTCCTGTCTCAGCTGAATCTAGTCTCACTGCTCCTAGGTCTTAACTCTGCGTAAATTTTCTGGACATTGCATATTTTCCATATCTCTTACCTGCAATATGCTTCTCCTCCTTGTTCTTGCCCTCTTCTCTAAATCTCTCCTCTAATCCCTTCTGCATTTCTCCTGCACTGACTCAGGAAGTACCCTTGTGTGTTTACCAGTACTTTCTGTGCCTAAGTCTCTGTTAGACTAAGAAGTCATTTGAGGTCCACTACTGCTCTTTGCTGGGTATTAGGGTAAGAAAACAAATAATAAATAAGAATAAAGGGGGGGCTCTCCTATTTCAAAGCCCAGTAAAGGACACTGCCCTTCAGGGATGGCCTGGGATAGACCATGTCTGGCCCCAAAGCCTCTCACCTTGTCTTCTTCCCGCACGACATACTGTGCCACCTTGAAGGAGCTGAGATACTCGTTCATGTTCTGCACATCAGTGTCCTCAGTTGCATCCTGATTCCGGTCCAACAGCCGAGCGATGGCCTCATTGTCATAGTGAATCACACTGCTGTCCTCCTCCTTGTTCTCCCCTGGTGAACAGAAGGGAAATCTGGGTTCCAACCTTAAGCACAACTTAGAAAGGCCGAAGGAAAGCCTCTACTCTGCTTCCTTTTCATGGCAGCCCTGGAGAAGGCTCTTTCCCTGGGAGCCAATGTTGACGTTTTTTTGTTTTAACCCTGCGGGCAAGGAAAGAGGCCAGCCTTCCTCCAAGAAGTACTGAAAAGAAGGCTCTTCTTCAAAGGTTGCAGAGAAGAGTCCCTCCCCCACCCCCTGCCCCAGGGGGCTGAGAAGAGAAGCGCTCATGAGAGAGCAAGGGCCTGCTCTCATGGAGCTGCAAAAAAGGTTCTCACCCTCATTTTCATCCTTAAACAGCTCCTCAGTGCCAAATTTGAGGATGTCGTCAAGCTCCTGCTTGGACATGGAGCCTGCCTTGGAACCTAGCCCAGGCCGCACCACCAGGTGTGTCAGCATCATCTTTCTCTTGGCCACTTGTGTAATTCGCTCTTCCACTGACGCTCGAGTCACAAACCGGTAAATCATCACTTTGTTGGCCTGGCCGATCCGATGAGCCCGGCTGAAGGCCTGCAAGGTGGGAGAAATTGGAGGTGGGCCAGAGAAGTCACAGGGGAGAAGCTGCCCACATGCTTGGGAAAGAAGGCTGCCATAAAAGGGTCTTCTCCCCTCCCTGACTCCAGAGAACAGCCCCCTCCTCCGTGATCCCACATTTCCTTGCTAAGTGGTACAGGGGTTCCAGGATATGAGTTCCCACCTGGATGTCATTATGGGGGTTCCAGTCGGAATCGAAGATGATGACGGTGTCAGCAGTGGCCAGATTGATGCCTAGGCCTCCAGCTCGGGTGGACAGGAGGAAGCAGAATTGTTGGGCCCCAGGAGCTAGGAAGTGAGAGTTAGGAGATCAGGTTTTTCTTGTACCCAGTAGTTCTGTCCATCTGCTCCTAGATGTTCCCTGACTACAAACAACCATAGCCCCAACTCAAAGCCTAGGTGTCCAATATCCCCCCACACCAGTCCCCCTCCCATACCAGAGACCTAGCACAGGTTCCTTGGGCCTCCCATACCTACCAGGGACCAAGGCATCTCCCCCTCACCATTGAACCGATCGATGGCCTCCTGCCTTAGGGCACCGGTGATGCCACCATCAATGCGCTCATATTTGTAGCCTTCGTAGTCTAAGAAGTCCTCTAGCAAGTCTAACATTTTGGTCATCTAGAACAAGAGAAAAGGAAGGAGTCTGGAATGACGAGTCAGTGGGATGGCCTGTCTAGTCTAACTATCCCTTCACTCTAACTCAACCCCAATCCTTACACTTGAACCTCTGCCCCGTCTTAAGCTCCCTTAAGACACCTACTCCCTTACTCCCCAGCTCCTCATTATTCCATATTCTTGCCGCACTCTCTTTGATTTAAGATCATTTCTCCTATGGCAGAGGTTCTTCTCTGAGACCTATGAAAAATTTTCAGGGAAATCTATAAACAGCCTGAAAATTTGTACAAAATTATATAATTATATGTGCAGTTTTCTGGAGAATGGACCCATAGCTTCAATAAAATTTCCAAAGGGTCTGTGCCCTTCACCCTCCCATAAGGTTAAGAAATAGTACCAGTCCCAGAGACCCCCAGGAGGAGGAAGATGGCTAATCCACACCCTTCCCGCAGTCTTCTTAAAAGGAGCTGGACTAAAACTTCCAACAGACTTAAGAACAGGGATAAGAAGCCAAGAATGAACTAGCTATACCAGAAACTCTTACAGGTGGAACCTCCTAATCTAGCATACCAGAGGAGCAATAGCAAGGAGGTAAGGAATTAAAGTCTGGAAGGTAAGGAGAGGGAACAGAAAGTAGATATAAAGAGAGAGTTAAGGAGATGGGTCACCTGAGAGAAGATGAGTACTCTGTGTCCTTGCTCCTTCAGCTTCCGCAACATCTTCTGCAGCAGCATGAGCTTCCCAGATGACTTAATAAGTGCCCCACCCTCATAAGCCCCACTGGGGAGTTTTGGGGACTCCTGAAAAGAAGGGAAGAATAATGAAGAGGAGAGGGTCAGGAAACATGTCCCCATGTTCTTACCATGCCTAGAAAGCCAGAAGCCCAAATCTAGCTTCCAAGCCTTTCCAATTCCTACTCCTCTCAGTGATGCAATTCCTAGCCTCCCACCCTAGCCCCACCCCTAGGGCTCAACACTCACCCCCTAGGCCCCCACCTAAATGCTGAGAACCAGGCATTTGATCAGTTCCCTGTTCTTTGTATCTACCATAGCAGCCACAGGAAAGAGGTATGGATGGTTGCAGCACTTCTTAAGGTCCATCATGATGTTAAGCAGAGACACTTGGTTCCCACCGCCTCGAGAATTCAAGGCCTCGAAATTTCGAGTCAAGATGTACTTGTAGTATTTCCTAAAAGTCAGGATAGGGGCGCAGAAGAGACATAATAAAGGAAGCAATTACGATATTGCACTTGGAAAGCTGCCGCCAAATCCCCGATCCCTAGTCCAGTCCGCCTTGCATCTCACTTCTGCATGGGGCTCAGCTCCACTCGAACGATGAGCTCTGTTTTGGCTGGCATGTTCTTAAAGACATCCGCCTTGAGCCTCCGCAGCATGTGTGGCCCCAGCAAATCATGCAGTTTCTTAATCTGGTCCTCTTTGGATATGTCAGCAAACTCCTCCAGGAAGCCCTCCAAGTTACTAACAGCCAGAAGAAGAGAACGAAGTGAACAGGTTGTCAAGTTCTTTGCCCCTGATCTCAGGCTCTATTCTCCACCTCAGATTAATCCTGCACCAGATCATTTTAGCCACTCCACTTACTTAAACCTCTCTGGAGTGAGGAAGTTCAACAGATGGAAGAGCTCCTCCAGATTATTCTGCAGTGGGGTCCCTGTCAGCAGTAACTTATGATCTATCTTGTAGCCATTGAGGACCCTGAAAAACTAGAAGATGGGGCAAGGAAAAGCAGGAGAAAGGGCTTATCAGTGGCAAGTGGTTAACCCACAGCATCGACCTTTCCCTGCCACCCACTCCCATTTCCCTCAGAATCAGAGGCCTCAAATCCCTAGTCCTCTCCCTCTTCTAACTTGGACTTCTCCCCAGAGGTTCCCAGGAACTCTGCCTCCCAGACTGCAGGAAGTCCCCAGAACTTTAAGGACTAGGGTAAGTGGGAGTCCACAGCCCCAAGTTTCTCAGGTCTAGGAATCTCACTCACCTTGGACTGGTTGTTCTTGAGTCGATGGGCTTCATCTACCACGAGACAGGCCCAGCAGATGGAGCCAAGTGCTGCTTGGTCAATGGTGATCAGCTCATACGATGTCAGGAGAACGTGGAACTTCACCTGTGCCTCCCTCTGCCAACACAACCGTTGCCCATTTGGCTGCTACCTGACACCCACGCACCTGCGTGCCCATCCCCCATTCTTCACTCAGACACCTTGTCTTGGCTATGAGTCCCAAAGGAAGCCATTATTGTGTCCTCCAACTTCAACTCTAAGCAGAGATCACTGACCACAGCCCCCAAACTTCCACCCCCATGTCCAGTACTGACAGACCCAAGTATACCCCTGGGAGTACCTGCCATATCCCTAGGATGGGAGTGCAGAGGTGTAAGGACAGGTGGAGGAAAGGAGGGAGAAAGGGGTATAAAGGAACTGAATTCCTAGTTGGGGCAAAGAAATGACAGTTCTGAGGGTCTTAGAGATGAGGAAGAGGGGCTTACCTTCATCTTAAAAGCTTTCTTGCCACCTTTGATGGCGTTGTCCTCAAAGGAGAACTCATTCTCACGAATAATCGCTCGACTGTCTTTGTCACCCGTGTATGTCACCACATAGAACTTAGGTGCCCACATCTGGAACTCCCGTTCCCAGTTAATGATGGTTGAGAGTGGGGCACTCACCAAGAAGGGACCTTTTGTGTGGCCCTGGGAGTCAAGGGTGGGGGGCCCATTAGTCAGGCTTGAAGTTGTATACCCCAATCCCCTGCCTGTCACACCCCTCCCTACCCTCCCCCTCCCCTAGTCCAGGCTAGGCCTCAGCCGAGCTATCCCCATCAGGGCCTAGAATCCGGCACCTCCTTATAGAGAGAGTAGAGGAAGACGATGGTTTGTATGGTCTTGCCCAGCCCCATCTCATCAGCCAGAATGGTGTCAGTGCCCTGGGCCCATGAGAAGCGTAGCCAGTTCAGCCCCTCCAGCTGATACATGTGCAGTGTGCCTCCAGTGGCTGTGATAAACCGTGGCTGGGTCTCGTATTTCACTGTAGGCTGCAGAGTCAAAAAGTCAGAAAGCTCAAGGGAACAGTCAGCAGCTCCTCTGGTTTTAGTCTCTTCCTCCCTGCCACTGATACTCAGTTGGATTACAATTCCCTCTACTATGACCTGAGTTTATGAAAGTTCTAGTCTTTAGTCCCTCCCCCTCATTCCTTAAAACAATACCCAGCAGCACCGTGGGGAAGGGCTAGATGGTGAAAGAGCCCCAAGTGGGCTATCTCTAGTGGCTTGCTCACTCTTATGCCAAAATTGCTAGCCACTCGTGGGGCAAGGTTGAATGCTAAAGGAAGAGCTACACTGTTCAAAGAGCTTGTTCAAACTCTGGGAATTCTGTCAATAACCCCCAGGAAATCTTTAATCACCATGGTTCCAGAAACAGGAGAAAGGCCAAGTGAGAGGACTCACGTCGTTAGTAGGAGAACTGGGAGGCCCATCACCCTGCAGCTCCTTCTTCTTCTTCTTATACTTGCGGGGCTGGGCAGGGTCCTCCCCCATAATTAGTTCTCTGGGAAAAGAGTGGGTCTAAATGAGGCCTGGTCCTTGGATGCCCCCTTTTCTTTTCTTAACCCAATCCAGACCTACCTCCCACTGTCCATAACCTAGATTTTCTCACATTTCCTTTCTTCCAGGCTCTTAACCCTTGCCCTTTGGATTTTACCTCAAGAGGCGACCCTCCCTACTCCTGAGCATCCTCTTACCCATTACAGGGCAAATCTTATTTTTATTCCTTCCACTGCCTCTTTACCACCCCAAACCACTCAGCGCAGGCTGCTACTGCCCGAAACTCTAGATTGGATCTGTTCCTACTTCATGCTGGAGGTTTAGCTTCCATGCCACCAGCCCCAGACTCCCACTGATCCATGACCTCTCTCCCTCACCGGTGTCTCCAGTAGCTGTGCTTATGGTCTTCATACTCAGGGATGTTCATTTCATCTTCTTCCCACGTGGACTGGTCATATGGCAAGTCCCTCCACTTCACCAGATAGTGGTAATTCCCCTTTTTATCCACACTGGGGGCAGGGGGCCAAGAGGAAGAGCAAGAGGAGAAAAACAACATTGATCACAAACATAAAGTAGGCCTGATGAATGCAATTATTAGCAAACATGCAGAGTTTGTCACCTAACCCTCAATGGTGGGCTGCTAGAAGCGAGTTTACAATGGTTGACATATTATGCTAGCCTTTTCAAGATGGCGTCCTAAAAATCTACTATCACAAAACATCCCAACATCATTTGTTCACCCAGCCAATAAGTATTTTCCTCATGGAACTCATCCTCTACTGGGGAAGGCAGCATTGAAATAAACAAATATAATGTTAGGTAGTAATAAGTACTATGAAGAAGAAATACTCAAAACATTAGTCTGGATGAATCACATTTCTCATGTTTTGCTTTCATGCCCCCATCCCCAGACTCATGTGCCATGTTTTATGCTACTGGAAATTAGAAGATGTAAGGAAAAAAGGGGCAGTGCTGGGCTGAACTTTTTTCCTGGTTTCTCCTGTCCTCCTGGAAAAAACAAGGCCAGAAGGGTTGAAGCTCCAGCAGGAGTTATCAAGGCTAGATCAATAATTTGGTTAATCAACAAACAAATGCTAACATGGGGCCGTTACCACAATAAGAATAGTGTCATATCCCAGGTCGGCCTTCCCACAGACGGAGGATTCACCTGTGGTTGATGATACGGTGGACAGTCATCCATTCTGGCTTGATGCCAAAACGGTAGTACTTCTCCTCCATCTCAGCATAGTGTGGATCTTTCACCTTGCGCTTGTCACTCTTCCCGTCATCCTCCCCAGAGCCATAGTCCAGGGGTGGAGGCTCGTCCATGTCATTCTTCCGCTGGTAGTTTCGGTACATTACCAAATGGAAAATCTCCAGCTGATGCACAGAGGAAAGGGGAAGAGATAGTCCCAATATCCAAAGAGGATGACAGGGAATAGGGAAGAGGCCAGCAGGGGCAATGGGATGGTGAAAGGGAGCTATGAAAGAGGCTGGATGAGAGAAAAATCAGTAAAGGTCAAAGCAGGAGAGTAAATAAAATCAAACAGATATAACAGAGTCAGAAGACAGGGCCTGGGTGGGGCTCAAATGAGGAAAAGAGGGCAGGGAATGGGGTTATTAAGATGGGGGATATTGATAAAACATGGAAAAAGAGAGAGAAGGAAAGAGATAAACTTAAGAAAGTCCACATCATATCTAAGGAAAGAAAGCTAATGGAGATTGAGAAAGACGACTGGAGACCAAGAGAATCATATACGGAAACTAAACAAGTAGGTAGGGTATGAGGACCAGAGGCCTGAAATGAGAGTCAAGACAAAAGGTATGAAAGCCCCGAGAACAGAGGAGTAAGATAGTGAGAATGGCAGGGAGCAGAGGGTCACGGGGAGAGGGAAAGGAGAGGCCCTTGTACCTGAAGCTCCTTAGCCCAGGAACAGTGCCAGTAGGACAGTCCTACCCACTTGACAAAGAACTCTCGCTCCGATCTGCCTTGAAGGGGACGGGGGGGTGGGACATCAGGATCCCCGTCTGTCTGTTGAGGGGCTGGCACTGCCACAGGTGGCTCCCCCCATCGCCAATGCAGGATCTTCTGCACACGACCCTTTAGCACGGGGCACTTTGGGATGAACATATACGAGAAGGAGGAAAGAAAGAGGCAGAAAGAACCCATCATTAGATTAGAGGATAGCAGTCCCACAAGGGTCCGGGAGAGCAGAGAAAGAAATAGCTGGACGTTTGGGCCCCAGTGACGGCTGAGGGGGTTGGGCCTGACAGTAAACACCGAGAGGAGATGGTTCCACTCACCGTGCATCGGGGACACAGCCATTCACCATTGGGGATATCAGGCAGGGGAGGGTTCAGACAATGAATGTGGTAGGAGGAGATGCAAGCATCACAGCACAGGAGCTCCCCGCCATCCTTGCACACACGGCAGTACTCCATGTGATCGTCCTCCTCTTCCTTCTCCCCTTCTTCTTCTCCCTCCTCTTCATATTCTTCATCCTCTTCCTTGGCCTCCCACTGTACCCCTTCCTTCTCCTGGGAGGCCAAGGACAGACACAGAGACAGATGGAAGAGACAAGGAGTGAGATTGGAAGATACAAGCAAAGACAGGACACCTGAATCTTACAAGTACAGAGAATACTGGTGGGAACTAAGGAACAGGATACCCCAGTTTCCAAAAATGTTGATTCTGGGGCAAAGGGATGGGAGAAAGGAACTAACTAGGATTCTGGACACTTGAACATCTGCTACTGATAAGCCCAGGCATCTAGGGGCAGGAAGAGTATAACTGAAACCAAGGAGGAGAGAGACGGGTAGGTAGGTCCTGAGAGCCGTAAGACTCTGGGCACCAGGTACTCACACAGTGGGGGCAGCTCCATTTGCCCTCAGGAGCCCGGTCAAGCTCAGGATCAAGGCAGACGAGGTGGTAGGCACGAGGGCAGGTGTCGCACAGAATAATTTCCCCACCCTGCTGGCACACCTCACAGTAGTCCTGATGATCCGTCTCGTAGCCATCAACCTCCTCCTCCCCGGGCACTGCAGGACAGCCCAGGACTGTCATATACCCCAGTGGAGGCAAAGGGAATGGGGGTGAGGGAAGGGAAAGAGGCAGGGATTGGGGGGAAGTGGGGGGGGAGAGAGAGAGAAAGAGAGAGAGAGAAGGGTTGAATAGAAAAGTCAAAATTGAAAATAAGAAAGACAACAAAGGAATGAGAAGAAGGTAGACTGACAAGATCACACACAGCCAACATCCCTTACCCTTCTTCTTCTTCCTTCCTGGCCGGCCTCTCTTTAGTTTTTTGGCACGGACAGGGCCATCAGGCCGGCCCGAGGCACTGTGGACACTGCCACTGTCCAGGTCTGACTCCTCAGCCTCTGGTTCAGGGCCCTCGTCACTCTGAAAAACATACTGCCCATAGACCCATGGCTGTCAGCAAGACAGACTTGATTCCACTCCCCTCCCCAGGCCTTTGGCTTCCTGCTCCAGTTGCCCTCATGGATCCCCATCTCTGGACCCCATCCCTTGACCCCCAGGTGTTTAGGAGACACGGAGGGAGTCACTCACCGAGCCTCCCTTCTTCCTCTTGCCACCCAGCAGCCCTAGTTTGATTTTGAGTGGTGCCATCTTCTTTCCCCGAAGCTTCTTGCGTCCGTCAGGCACTCGGGGGCTCTTACTCCTCCTCTTATGGCCTGGACCTGAAACGGGGAGCGGGGGTGAAGGGAGAAAAAGCAGAGGTCATGACACATCCTATAACAACAGAGGTCACAGGGGCCTCTGGACTCCTCTGTGGGCTACGGTTTCACTAAGACCCACTTCTTGGAAAGCAATTTCTTCTCCAGCAATCAGGGCTAGGAAGGCAAGAGATCTAGACTATAATTTGAAGACATGCAGTATGGAAGGTTCAGGGACAGTTAGAAGAAGAGAGGTTCCCTACCTTTGCCCTCTTTGGTTTTGGCTCTTCGGATGGGTGGGGGCTGGATATCAGCAGTAGGGGGCGGTGGAAGGGCAGGGGGTCCTGAAGGGGCTATGGGGGTGGCCGATGAGACAGCAGCTGACACCTGCTCAGCTACAGCTGCTGCTGCTGCTGCTGCTGCTGCCGCCACAGCAGCTGCTGACCCCTTGAAGGGGTTGTTTGCGCTGAACTCTCTCCACTTGGCCCCAAGGATGGTCATCATCTTAGACATTGGGATCTTAGGATTCTTCTTAGCAATTAGGGGCCTGTAAATATAGAAGCAGAAAACTCAGACCCTTCACAGATGGTCTGGGAACACTGCCATCTCCCCTCATCAATTAAGTCTATGTACATGCTAGGATTCCTGGGTGGTGAGAATATGTCCTATTAAGAAAAACATCCATTTAAAAAAAACAAATTAATAAAAAGAAGTTTAAAAAAGCAGGAAGTTTTTAAAAAGCATAAAAATTAGAAAAAATTTAAAAGCATAAAAGGCAAAAAACAAAAAAGCAAACAAAAAAGTATAACACCTATAAAAATGCTTTACTTATGTTCCCTACTTTACAGTTCATAAGACCACTTTTGTATACATTATATCTTACTTCATCCTCACAGTAATCCTCTGAGTTGTTATGATTCTCTGCATTTTACCAGTGAGTTCCTCGGGCCCTGAAGAAAGACTTCCATGGGATGGAGTCTGAGAGACGGGCCATGCTGGCTCTGCTCTGGGGTGGGGTACTGAACTGAGCTCTTGTGAGGACATGGGTGACCCACAGTGCTGACAAAAGCACCATTTTTAGCAGTGAGGTAGGAGAGGTAACAGAACTAATGACAATCACCAGTTACTGAACACTCCCCAGGGGCTAGGCACTGACTGTACTAGGCTTTCCATTCATTATCCCACCAAACCTACACAGACTCACATGATATGTGTACTATTATTATTCCTATTGTACAGAAAAGGAAATGGAGGACCAAAGAAGTTAAATTTAACCTCCCCAAGATGACACCAGGACCTGAACCTCAGCAGCTCCCTCCAGTGCACAGAACTGCTGTGTTAAAGTGCCTCCCCCAAAAGACATCTCTGCCATTCTTTACTTTTTCTACTCTACTATCCTCTACCCTCCTTCAAGAGTCACTCACCAACACAATGTCCATTATTACCAGGGCCTAAGGAGTGGGCAGGGCAGAGGACTTGATAACTGAGCAAAAAAAGTTCAGGAACACTGATGGTATCTCTCAGGTCCAGTCTAGAGAGAAGCCATGGAGAAGATGGACCTGTTGGAGCAGGGGACGGCTCACTATATCCTGTCCTCACTTTATTCTGTTGCTAGAGAGTTTTCTAACTTAGCACTGGAATCATGATCTCCCCTCAGTGAAGAGTTTTTAACTGAGGTCCTTGGGTCCTTAGGAGTCCAGAAGTTCCCTGAAATTATGTATGGAATTTTGCATGTACGTGAATCTCTCCGGAGAGCAGTTCCTTAGCTTTCATCAGATTCCAAAGGGCCTAGGGCCTCCCTAAAATTAAAAGTGTCTGTTCGAGAGTATTCCTCAGTCCTACCGCACCTCATGAACTGGCTAAAGGCTTTGTAGTTGGTGAGTGTGTGGTAATCCTCCTCAGAGAACACATGCTCCACATCCTCCAGGCCCCAGGTCAGAAGCAGAGTTGCTGATGACTTTTGTTCCACCTGCTGGGAGAGAGTGGGCTTCAGTGAGGTGGGCGCTCCTCCAGCCCCTATTCTGGGGCCCTCACACATGTCTCTCTACCTACGAACCTGCTTCCCTGGGCTTTCTTGCTTCGCACTCCATCCTCCAGGCCAATCCCCATCCCTCGCAAACTATAGTTTCTGGGGCTTTCCCTCTCTTCTCATGTGTGTCTTTAATGCTTATTTCTCACCCTCACACCCTAATTCTACTCACCTTTTGCCCCCCATCTCCCTCTCCTTTTTTCCGCCGCTTTGTCTTCTTCTCCTTTTTTTCTCGGTGCTTCCGTCTTCGCTTCCGACCTGGTCCGGTTCCATATTCACTACCCCCACTTTCTGACTTCTCCCGGTATTCATCTCGTTCGGAGCCAAATTCCTCCTCACTGTCCTAAGAAAGAAAAATAAAAATAACATTTATTCATCCTTACCATGTGCCAGGAACTGTTCTTAGCAGGTAACATATTTTATCTCTTTTAATCTTCACAACAATCCTATGAGATAGTAACTAATCTATTTTTATTCACTTTTTACAGGTAAGGAAACTGAGGCACAGAGCACTAAATAAATGGCCCGGGAAGACAGGCGACTGCTAGGTTCTGAATTCATGCATTCTTCCTCCAGAGCCTGTGCTTTCAACTGCTTCTCTTTGGTGCTAAGGCAAGTCACACTGACAACTGGACTCTTCACTAGGTTGTAGTGAATTAAGTTAGGGTTCCAGATCTGTGAGGTAACAAGCCAATGGCCTATGAGAGCAGGGGTCAAGCCTCCCTGGCTTTAGGATACACCTTCCACCCTGTAATCAAGACCAGAGGAAAGGTAGGTCTCTGAGAATGTAGGCCTCATGAGCCTTGCTGTTGAGTTAGGAAGTCTTTTTTTTTTTTTTTTTTTTTGGTGAGACAGAGTCTCCCTCTGTCACACCAGCTATAGTGCAGTGGCACAATCTAGCTCACTGCAACCTCAAATTCCTGGTCTCAAGCTATCCTCCTGCCTCAGCCTCCCAAGTAGCTGGACTATAGGCGCACACTACCATGGTTGGCTAATTTTTCTATTTTTCGTAGAGACAGGATTTCACTCTTGCTCAGGCTGGTCTCGAACTCCTGGCCTCAAGTGATCCTCCTCCTGCTTTAGCCTCCCAGAATGCTAGGATTACAGGTGTGAGCCATCGCGTCCGGCCAAGTTAGGAATTCTTGACACTTACACGCTTCTTGCGTTTTCGGGGTTTTCCTGGCTTGTTCTCTTTCTGCTTCTTGGGTCCTCGTTTTCTCTTCTTCACACCCAATGCTGAAGGCAGCAGCCGAATATCATCTTTATCTTTGGAGCAGAAAGCACCAGAAAACCTAAGCCTCTACATTCCCCATCTCTGAGGCCCATGACTGCCCCCTTCCCCACCTCCTCAGTTCCCACTCTCTAGGAACTCAGGCATTAACTCCTCCAAATCCTGCCTCCCTTCCTTCACTGGATGCAAACAGAGAGTGTTTCGAGTATTCTGGGATGCTCTGGTTCTGAATGGGAGGTCAGGGGTCAGAAGGGATGAGCAGCCAAACCACTCCCTTCTCTTCCCTCCTACTAACAAGGGACCAGGCTCTAGGCCACAAGCTCTGACTGTGGCAGGTCCTTTCAGTCGCCGCCAGGGCTCCTCCTGCCTTCCACCTCACTTCGCCAGCTGGCATCCTGCCCAGGAACTGGGGAAGCCATGCCCAGCTGCTGGCCTGGCCTGACCCCAGCACTTGGAGTGGGGAGACACAAGCTGGCAGCTCCCTAAGCCAGATGCTGAGAAGGGAGAGCCAAAGGTGGACACCTGGGTTCTCACACTAACACCCTGAGGCCCTGACATCCTTTTTGCCAAGAGGGAGGCCTCTATTTACATTTCCTCAGATAATCACCAGGCATCCTGTCACCCCAATACAGTCCTGCAGGAAAAGAAATTCCTCAGCTGGTCATTTTCATTTCTTGCCCACAGGATCACAGTGTCTGCCTCCTTCATCACACCCTAATCCTACAGGAAAAAAGTCTCCACAATTCCTCCTGCCAAGTAGCCTGGAATCTGCCTTCAAACCTATTTCCATATCTCTGCTCCCTTTCAGAACTTAGAGGCCATACCCTTTGTTCCCTGGTCTCACCCCTCACCTCCAAATTTGTCCCCAACATCCTGACCCATTCATATACACACAGTATGGGAGACCCAACAGAAGACATAGGCACAGACAGACACATTTAGCATCTGCTTTCTCAAATGCATGCATGTACACACACATTTGGGAGCACAAATCCAGAGGGCTGCCTGTACCTGCTTCGGCAGGGCTAGGACCCTGGCTTTCTCTCCAGATGTCTCTGTCAGAGGGCCCTAGGCAGTTCTACGCTGATGTCTCCCCACCCCATTCTCTGTGACCCATGCTAGTCTGTGGTGGCTTGTGGGCCAGAGAGTTACCGACATAGCGGAGGATCCACACAGACATGGGGCCCTGGGGCCCTGGTTCACCTCCCTCCCCCACTAAGCACTCGACTAACCAGCCAGACCTGTCTTGTTCAGGCAGAGGCAGCTGCTGTAGGAGAGGAAAGCCTGGGCTTGGCTCAGCCTCTTGCTCTAGGACACACAATCCTCCTTTCCTCAAGAGAAAATTAGCCACAATTAACACCGGAGGGCCTTGGTTTCTGTTGCCTCAGAATCAGGGCATCTCCTTCCTTCAATGCTACCTTTCCTCTTAACTCCAGCATCCTGTGTCCTCTTGAGCAGGCAGACATTCTAGGAGTGTGTGAGTGCGTGTGCAGGGGGATAGAAAGGGAGAAGGGATTGTAATAGGAAGTCAGTAGGCACCATGCCCGCCCGAGCAGCGGCTCCCCCTGACCCCAGGGACTTCGGTTAACATGAACATGGAAACGGAGGCCGCCAGGGCAGTGGCAAGGGCAGGCCAACTGGCTAAGGATCAGGGACATGGCCTAGGCCACCACCAGCTGGGGGTGGGGCACAAGCCCTGAGACGTGACGGCTGCTTCACTCTACGCCCCGCCCCAGCGCGAGGTTCCCGAACTTGGGCAGACGTCGGTGGTGGGAGAGGCAAAGGGAGAACGGCGAGGAAAGGCAAGGGAGGGTAATAAAGCAAATCTAAGTCCCAACCTCGGTCTCAGCAGCCACTCAATGCTGGCCCAGAGCCCAGACTCTCCCACATCCTCGGCTCGGATCTCGGGAAGGCGGGGAGGGAGGAGGGCGCAGGGCGGAGCCTGGCAGCCGAGAAAGCGGGAGGAGCCTCGGCCGAAGCCTCGCCTCCCGCCCGCCCCTCTCTTCTCCTAATCTCACCATCAATCTCTCACACATATATTTATTTTTTCTCAAATTCCCCTCCCTCCCCCACAACGAACCACCATAATAGGTCTGCTGCACATGCGTACTGCATGTAGGGGGTGGGTTTGTATTTTCAGACCTTTTGCAAAGAAACTACCAGAATTTTCCGCACCACCCACAATCATTCCCCTCCCCCACCCCCAAGGAATCACATCTATATATTATGTTATATTATTTCTCTAGACTTGCCAGAAGGGGGAGGGAGAAGAAATGAGTTTTTGGCTTCCTGCTCCCTTCCCCCACCGACACGAGTGCTATTATTTTAAACGTTTAACAATGTAAGGAGACTGGAGAGAGGGGGAAGGGATAAAACTGGTCTTGGGTAAGAATGTAAAACAAAATGGTGAGAATCAAAGCAGTCAGAATGGAAAACAATGGAAAGCTCTCATATGTACAAATGCATATTTTAGAAAAGGATGAGGGAGGGCAGCCTGAATAAATTTCCTTAGAGGAGGGTTATTTTCCCCACACTTAGGTAGACAGAAATAATGAGCGGGCTAAAAATATTTTCCCAAAGTTTTACCTCACAAAGTCATCTGAGGGGGTGTATCTGGGTCACTCATTTGATTTAGAGGAAGAAAGGGAGAGAAAATTGCCCTGGGGGAGAGGAGAGGTGGGTTTTCATTTCAAATATAAAATTTAAAAAGCATCTGACGTCTCTTCTCATCTGTTGAGAAGCACAGAGGGTAAAGGGGAGGAGTAGAGACACAAAGACCCATCTCAACCTTGGTTCTTTCACGCTCCCCTCACGTACCCAGATCCGGACCAAAACCACGTAAACACCACACTCCAAGTTCCCATACAAACAGGTGAGAGCTGCCAGCCCCCTACCAGAACCTGACATCCTTTCTTTCCCAATTTTCAGCACCTCTGCTGCAGGCAACCCCCTCCCCATAAGCCTTTATTCCTTCTACCTCCTGCGAAAGCAATGGGCTCTCTGGGATAACTTTTTCAAAACTTTTTCCTTTTTCAGACAGCCTGGGGGGGCGGGGAGACTTTATCCAATTTCCATTAGACACGTATCCTTCCCCCGACCCACAAGAAAGCACCCTACACTCCCTCAAAGGTTGTCTCAGCTCGACATTTGCCACATAAGCCACACGGATCTACATGACAGTTTTACAAAGAGACTGGTCGTTCGTTCGCGGTTTTGAAGTTTGGTGCATTTGTGCCGCATGGCAGCCAGAGGCCTGGGGTATGGGTGTCCCCTTCCATTCCCCAAGCAGGGGGTGTGGACCCCCAGATGTTCACCTATTCCAAAGACTAGCAATCCCTCCACTAGGAGGGTGGTCTGTCCCTTCCACCACTGGAGAGTGCTGCCCAGAGAGTGCTGCCGGGGGACTTGTCATCCCAAGGAAGGGGTGCTGAGTGATGGTCAAGCTGCAGAACAGCTGGGTGGGCAGTTCACGCCCCCCAACGTGGTCAAGGTGTGGGTGGTTTCAGCCAGAGAGTGAGTGACAGTCAATGGCAGCCACGTGAGAGTCACAGCTGGGCAGCTCGGCCACCCCAGACTGACGGGGTCATGAGGGGGTGGACCGCCCTCCCCGCACTTGACACAAAAGAGCCCAGAGCCGAGGCGAGGTGAAGGGGGTGGGGCTGGGGGCAGCTCGGTCCCCAGACACTGCTCTCCCCATTGCAAACTGGGGGGAGTAGGGGGTAGGCTCAAGTCTTACTCCAGGAAGTGGTCTGCGTGGAGTGTGGCCACCACCTGCCCCTACTCATCAGCCGCCCATAAACATTCACACGACCCCTCCCCTGCGTGCCACCGCACGCCCCTCAGTTGGCGGGCACCGAAGTCCCCGCGGGTGAAGGGGGGGTCCGATGGACACCGTCCCCCCTCTGCCTGCCCAAGTCCTGAGCGAAGGGGATCAGGGCCGCGGTCCGCTCCCCACGCGGAACCCCTACTTTCCCTCAGTCCAACCTCACCGGGGATCCGAGCCCGAGGGGCGCTCGCGCGGCCGCCCCTCCCCCACGCACCCCTCCCCCACGCCACCGTCCGGCCGCCAGGGTCTCCGCGGTCCCTCGCTCGGCCAGGGAGGGGGCCCTGGCTTCGCCCTGGCCGTTTCCTGCCTACCCCCTCCCCGCCGAGGGTAAAAAAAAATATCTCCTCCTCCTCCTCCCCCGAAAGCCGCGACCGAGTGGCCCGGACCGCGCGCGCAGCTCGCGCCCAGCGCTCTCCAGCCGGGGCGGCGGCGGCGGCGGCGGCGGCGGCGGGGGAGGGGTGCCGCGGGGGAGGGGAGGAGGCCCGGCCCTACCGCCGCCGCCTGCCCGGACCGCCCGAACCGCCGCGGGGCGACGGGCCCGAGCCCTGGATTCGCGCCGCGGATTCGCCTTGGCTCGGCCGCGCGGTGGGTGCCTCGCTCCCGCCCGGCCTCGCGCTCCCGCGGCTCCCACTCGGGCTGGGGGGGAAGTCGGGGCGGCTGCTTACCTGGCGGCGGGGGCGGCGGCGGCGGGGGCAGCGGTGGCGGCGGTGGCGGCGGCGGGAAGAGGTGGCAGCCGGGGGGGCTGTGGCGGTCGCGGCCCCGGTCGTGGCCCGGCCCGCGTCCGAGTACTCCCTTGTCGTCGTCCTCCTCATCGTCCTCGTCGGCCGCCTCCACCTCCTCCTCCTCCTCGTCGCCCTCTTCTTCCTCCTCTTCTTCCTCCTCCGACACCACCATCTCCTCCTCCTCCTCCTCCTCGTCCCTCAG